CTTAGCCATGCTTAGTTCAACTAGTGCACAAAGGGGGATCACATTAAAGCATAGACTTGATTATTGGCATAGCTTTGATTTAGTGCCACCGTAATGGTGTGGGTTAATTAAAATACACATCATGGTGGGCTGTGGGTGCATGGTCTTGCTAGTCGCACCCATGGCATTTAAGGACCGGTTCGCGGGATGCCCTGGAAGAATTTATCGTACTTACCACAAGCCAGCGTGGGCAACGGCTGGGCTTGTAGTGTAGCTTTTCTCTAGCCGACGTACCCAGGCGAGGGTGGGCGTGATGGAGTTGGGTCGGCCGGGGCGTCCGGTTGATCGGCTTCCGGATTCACCGCGGCACGAAAGGGGGGCTGCCCGTTGCCTGCTGGGGACGGGGGCGAACCCTAAGGTGTGGTGCGATCGGTTAGAGAGGGTTATGCGAAGGGTCCTGTCACGGCCTCTTTCCGGTATGTCGTGGTGGCATGTCGGCGCACGGGAACGTGTCGTGGGGCTGTGTCTTGTGGGTACAGTTGTACACCTCTGATCAGAGTAAAACTATTCGAATAGCCGTGCCCGCGGTTATGGGCGGTCGACCAGATTCACCGTGATTAGTTTCACCCTAGTTAGCTTTTGGAACTGGTTAGTTCAGGTGGTGGTTTGGGCCTGTCGCAACGTGGTGTAACGTTGGACAGTGATTGGTTAATATGGATTAATTACTGCAACTGTTTTACTGCTTTCAACTACTGCTTTGAAATGCCGGCTTTATGCAAAAAAACCTTTAGCCTCCCTTGGATATATCTTGCATCATACCTCCTCTTCCGGTATGACTTGCTGAGTACAGTGGGTAGTACTCAGTCTTGCTCTCTTTTCCCCCACACCAGCGTTGAAGTCCTTCTCAGTTGAAGATGTCTCGAAGAGGTTGGTTTCGTCGCTGCCGTCAAGGATGCCTGTGGAATGGAGTCGCCCGCTGCAGAAGTCAAGCCTTCAGGCTTAGCTCGCTTTTATCTTTTTCCGCTGCATTTGTAATCTTTTATATTTTTGTAAGACGTGGATCTGTATGTCAACAATTGTCGTTTGTGTACCCTGGCTGGTCCTGGACAGGGGTTTAATGCACATTCAGCTTAGAAATTCTGGTTCGTGAATTTCTGGGCGTGACATCATCTCTCCAAAAGGATTCATGCCATCCGTACTCAAACCAAACCGTATGTTTCGTGCGTCCTTTCCAAATTCTTTAAATTTTCTGTCGATGTTTCGCCACTGCGAACCATTGGCGGGGTGTCTCAGCATCCCGTCCTGTTGACGCTCTTCAGCGTGCCATCGCAACATTCTAGCATTCCCCTTGTTCCTGAACAAACGCCTTAGCCGTGGTATTATAGGGAAATACCACATCACCTTAGCAGGAATTCTCTTCTTTGTTAGCTGCCCGTCAACTTCTCCTGGATCGTCCCGTCTAATCTTGTATCGTAGTGCTTTGCAAACAGGGCATGCTTCTAGGTTCTCATACTCCTCACCGCGATATAGGATACAATCGTTCGGACATGCGTGAATCTTATGAACTTCCAGTCCTAACGGGCAGACTATCTTCTTAGCCTCGTACGTTGTCTCGGGCAATTTGTTTCCCCCCGGAAGAATGTTCTTGACGAGTTTCAATAAATCGCCAAATGCCTTGTCACTAACCCCATTTTTTGCCTTCCATTGCAACAACTCCAGAGTGGTATCCAACTTTTTGTGCCCCTGCTCGCAACCTGGGTACAACGAAGTTCTGTGGTCCTCCAACATCTTGTCCAATTTATGGGCCTCCTTTTCACTTTCGCAGTCCTCTCTGGCGTCCTGCAACATCTGACCAAGATCATCCGCAACGTCGTTACCATCAACAGCTATTTCCTCCTCGCCCGTTTGATTTCCTTCAAATCCAACATACTGAGCAAAGTCCGGAATATTGTCGTCTTCCACTTCATCTTCTTCCATTTCAACACCTTGCTCTCCGTGGGATGTCCAACAATTATAGCTTGGCATGAACCCCGACTCAAACAAGTGGAAATGAATAGTCCTGGATGCAGAATACTCTTTCTGATTCTTACACTTATTGCATGGACAACAAATAAAACCCCTTTGCCTGTTAGCTTCGGCCACTCTCAAAAAATAGTGCACGCCGTCAATAAACTCTTTGGACCGCCGGTCAGCGTACATCCATTGCCGATCCATCTACATGAGTCAAAAAAACCGTACACAAATAATTATTCTTACAATAATGACAGTCATACAATAATTATAAGATATCTTTATTCATACAAAAATCATAAAATATTACACCAAATAATTCTTAAAAACTATTTGTAAAGTTTTAAACTAATTTTAATGTGTTTTACTTCTTTTAATTTTCATTTTAGTTTGTTTTCTATTATTTAAGATTAACTTTCACTAGAGTTTTCCTTCTCAACTATTTTATAAAACCTTGTTTAGCAAATGAACTAAATTTCTATATATTCTTTCTTCCCCACACACATTTTCTCTCTCATCAACTTACAACTAAATTTTGGAGACAAAAAAAGTGTGCAAAACATAGGTGCAAATGTAGTATGACAAAAAAAAACATTGGAGGATGAAGTTGCAAACCTTTTAGGCACCTCCGATTTGTATGTAATCACCAAAATAAATTCAATAGAAATTTTGGCATGACCTCCCCTCTTTTTTGAAGAAATTTTGAAGCTTGCTCGGGCAGCTGGAGGATGAAGAAGACATATATATAGGGGTGGGACTTTAGTCCCGGTTGGTAGCATCTTTAGCCCCGGTTGGTGCTACCAACCGGGACTAAAGTTACGACTTTAGTCCCGGACTAAAGATCCCGGGGGGGCCTGACATGACCTGACAGCATTCGAACCGGGACTAAAGATGATCTTTAGTCCCGGTTGGTAACACAAACCGGGACTAAAGATCAAATATGCCCGTTACCCTTTTGAACCGGGACTAAAGATCATCTTTAACCCCGGTTTTTATTGCATCCGGGACTATTGTGGAAATCGGCCGACCGATGAAAGATGGTTTCTCCACCAGTGAGGGTATCACTTAAGTCATGCATCAATTATTGTGAATGTGTATTTCGAATCATAAAACAATCCTATCGATCCGTTTGAAATTTGTTAGTATGCATGATATCTCACAAATAAAATTCAAATTTGTACATACACATTTATCCACCATCATCTCATCTACATGTGAGTTTCACCTAAGTTGGAGTTTACATCATATATATGTGCATGCAAAGCACAGAAGTGTTGTCAGAGCTAAATGTGAGGAAGATGATAGTAGGTTGACGCAGGGCTGCGTTTAGTTCCATCCAAAGTTTGGATTTTGGTTGAAATTGGAGATGATGTGACTGAAAAGTTGTGTGTGTGTATGACAGGTTGATGTGATGGAATTTTGCAAACTTTGGATCCAAAGTTTAGATGCAATAGTTCAAACAATTTCATTGACCTTGAAAGTTTAACAATATAGAACTGCACAATTATTGGTGGAAATCTACAACTGTAACTAAAAGCCAAGAGATTCATCTTTTAAAATGATCTATTAAAGAGTTTATTTTTTAAAATTTTACTGGGGTAAAACAGAAAAAAAAAATTCTGATCCGGTATTAAAACTAAATATTATTGCAAGAATATGTTTATCACCTATTTTTCCCGGTTTCAAATTAATATAAGTGTGTAGTTTTAGAAATTTAGGAATTTTTCATCTTTGGAGACCTAGAAATATTTGTGCATTTTTCATTGTTAAGATACTAGATCAAAAGGAGCCACTATATTCGTTTTGAAGACCTACAAATTACTGTATTAATTAATTAGAGATAAATAATAAAATTAACACTGTTTGATCGTTATGTGTCAAAATTGTAATTATAACACTATAGATTGATCAATGATAGTTGTCTAGGGATTCACATGTTTGTTCTGGAGACCAAGAAATTATACTGCATTGATCAAAGAAAAATAATAAAGTCACACCATTTGTAGGCTCAAGTTATTTTTCTCCAATCCATGATTAACTACTAGGAGTCAAATTTTGGATCACTCTTGTAGTCTTGGAGATGCTCTTGTTGTGCCTTAAAGAAACCCTAAAATTAAACTATAGCCAGTTGCACATGCAATGCAAACGCTATTTTATTGCATACTCCTTCCCTCCAAAAAAAAAAAATCCACTCCCTCTATTTCATATTATAAATCGTTTTATTTTTTTCTAGTTAAACCATTTAAAGATGTTTGATCAAGTTTATAAAAAAATGCAGTAGTATTTTTAACACAAAACAAACATATTATCAAAATATATTTAATGATAGATTTAATGAAATTAATTTAATATTTTAGATGTTGCTATTTTTTTTATAAATTTGGTCAAACTTAACGAAGTTTGACTAAAAAAATTAAACGATTTATAATATGAAACGGATGGAATAACTTCTAGGGATAGTTGTGGACAATTTTTTTCGAGAATTACGCAGTACAACGCAGGCACTCACAACACACGCACGCACACAAATCCTAGCCCTATGAGCATCTTCGAAGACTAGAGCGGCAAATCCATCAGAAATTGATTTTTTTATGAGACAAAAAAGTACTCCCTCCTCCCATAAATATTTGACGCCGTTGACTTTTTTAAACATGTTTGACCGTTCATCTTATTTAAAAAATTTAAGTAATTACTAATTCTTTTCCTATCATTTGATTCACTGTTAAATATACTACTACTACTCAAGTTTTTGAAAAATATTAACGAAATTTTTTAAATAAGATGGACGGTCAAACATGTTTTAAAAAGTCAACGGCGTCAAATATTTTGGGATGGAGGGAGTATTTACATATACAAGTTGCATTTCAGCTGCCCGCCGTCTAGCCTACATATACGCTCACATGCTTCTCAAGATTACTCCATGGATGATCACATGGATCTCTCCTCGTCTTCAGGAGAGTTGTAGACACGGCCTCCGGGCCTCCTAATTTGCTGGGCGGCGGCAGCCGGCCATGGCGGACCTGGCGTTGAGCACCGTGCACGCGCTGCTGGGCGTCATCCGCAAGGAGGCGGAGCTCCTGGGCGGCGTCCGCGGCGACGTGCAGTTCATCAGGGACGAGATGGAGAGCATCAACGGCCTCCTCCGCCACCTCGCCGGCACCAAGGAGCGTGCCAGCGACCACCAGGTCCGAGCCTGGATCAAGCAGGTCATGGAGCTTGCCTACGACTCCAACAACTGCGTCGAGAGGTACGCGCGGACGCGCTCCGGCCGCCGCCGCCGCAGGGGATTCCTCGGCAGCCTCCGCCGCGCCGCCCGCCTGCCGTGGGCGATGTGGGTTCGCCGCCGTGTCGCCACCCGGATCCGGCAGCTCAAGGTCCGTGCGCGCGAGGTCGGCGAGCGGCAGCAGCGGTACGGCGTCGCCGTCCCGGCCAAGAAGGACGGCGCAGCAGCAGCAGAGGACGACGGTGACAACAAGCGGCCGCTGGAGTACTCGAGCATGCCCCGCAAGGTGGCCGGAGGCGGCGATGCTTCCCGGCGACGAGCCGCGGCGATCGTCTCCGAGTGCGGGACCGATCACATGCTGAAGGAGTGCACCGACGAGCTGATCAACTGGGTCGACATGGGAGTGGCACCGGACGGCCGCTCCGGCGTGGAGCTGAAGCGGCCGAAGCTCAGCGTCGCGGTCATCGTCGCGCCTGACGCGGCGGACGGAGCAATTGTCGTGGACAAGGTGTACAGGCATTACAAGCCGATGCTGCAGCCACCTTCCTCCGGCTCCGGCACGCCGGTGACGGCGGCGGCGACGTCGCCGTTCAAGTGCAGGCTCAGCGTCACCCTCCGGCGGCCGACGAATCTGATGGAGGTTCTGATGGACATGCTCCGGCAGCTCCAATCCGAAGGCTGCGTCGAGTCCATGGGCGATGACGTGCAAACATGGGATCTAGACACGCTCAAGGAGAAGATCAAGAATTCACTGAGGGGGAAAAGGTTGCTGCTCTTCCTCACCAATGCGGACTACCTCGACATATGGTTCCCGATCGAAGAGGTGCTCGCCTCCACTGACTGCGACCATGGAAGCGCCGTGGTGTTGTCCTCCAAGGACAGGGAGGTGGCCAACAAATTGATGCCCCCTCTGATGAACACTAGTACCATCTCTGACAACATGAACAACGGAAGTGCGAGCGCGGCAGCGGCGGCGGCGGTGGAGGTGGAGGTGGAGGAGGACAAAGATTTGGAAAGCAACAATTCCAAGTCCAAGTCCAAGTCGAAGCTCCCTCTGATGAAAACTGTGTCCTACTCCCATGTCGATTTCCACTACAAGAAAGCTAACCAACTGATGCTGCAGCTAACTAGCAGCTACAACACCAGCGATGCCGTGAAACAAGTACTCACCAGGTGCGACACGGATGACTTCTGCGCCAAGGTCTTCCTCCATGCCCTGCACAACAACCCAAACCGGACGGCGGATGAGCTCAAGATCTTGACGGAAAACCTCGCACCGGACCGATGCTCCAACGACCCCTTGGAGAAAAGGGTCCGGTTGGCTGCCTTCTGCTACTATGGCCTGCCTGACCGCTATAAGAATTGCTTGTGGTACGCGGCTGCCTTCATTCGAGGGAGCTACGACATACGTAGGGCAAGCTTGACAAGGCGATGGATCGCCGAGGGCTTGATCATCAGATCAGGCCAGCCGACCGAGCAAGAGGAGGCTGAGCGCTGTGTCGACACTCTCCTATCTCTGAATCTCCTCATCCCTAAGGAGCGTGAGCGCGGCGTAATTGAAGGCAAGGTCAAGACCTGCTCCGTCAACACTCCGGTCATCGACATAGTCAATGGGAGCCGAAGCATCAGCGCAAGCACCGTCGACGACTTCCTGGATACTAACCAGCTACCGCTTGACCTAGATCTCCACTTCTCTATCCGCAATGGGATCAGGATCCGTCAGCTAGACGCCATGGATGGCTCCACTATGGAGCCACGGCCGCCCGCACCCAAAAAGCAACTAGAGAGCGTTATGGAGTTTCTACGGAAGCTGCCATCCTCGTCAAGGCTGCGCCTCCTTCGAGTCTTGGATCTCGAGGGTTGTGGTGTCATCATCACCAACCGCCACCTCAACAACATCTGTCAGATCCGCAAGCTCAAGTACCTTAGCCTGCGTGGTACCAATATTGTATGGCTTCCAAAGAAGCTCCACCAGCTAGAGCTGCTTGAGACTCTCGACATCCGACAGACCAGGGTATGCGTGTTCGAGTCGACGCTGCCAAAGAGCCTGAAGCATCTCCTCGCCGGCCGCGTGGACTGCCTCGGTGATGATGCCGTCACGGTCAAGTCGAAGGAATCATTCTCCACAGTGCGTATGCCTAGCGGCATCCCTGCCGGTGACATGAGCAAGCTAGAGATACTATCCCATGTTTGGGTCTCTGACAGCGCCAAGGAGCTAGACAACCTTGGCGAGAAGCTAAAGCAGCTAAGAAAGCTAGGCGTAGTATTGTGTGGCGGCAGCAAAGCCAACTTGAAGGATCTCTTCGCTCAGATCAACAAGCTGCACACAACACTCCGATCACTGTCCATCCGAATGAAGCCGGTCAGCAGTTGGGGCTCCACGGAGGCAGTCCTAATGACACCTCCATTGCTGCTCGAGAGCTTGCGCATCTGTGGCGTCAGAGACTGGCTGCCCCGCCGGATGAAAGAGCTCAACAACCTCTCCAAGCTAACCCTCCGAGACACTCTCCTAAACGAGGACAACCTCGCTGTCCTCGGTGCGCTCAAGGGCCTGCGTTGTCTCAGGCTCCGCTACCACTCCTTCGACTCTGGCGGTCTCACCTTCAGTAGTGACACCTTCCCCAACCTCGTAGGTTTGGTCATCGAGGACGACATGCTAGTGACCATCACCTTTGCTCCTGGAACAGCACCCAAACTTGCCAAGATCATCTGGTCATTCCAACGGATGGAGTCCCTAACAGGAATTAAGAACCTTCAGAGCTTGAGACGCATCGAGCTCAACCTGCTGGCAGGAAATGGTGCCACGGATGATTATCCTCAGTTGAAGCAAGAGATCAAGGAGCATCCCGGTAAGCCTGTACTTGTTTGCCAACTCATTGATCCAAAGAAAGGGGGTCAAGTAGCTAATCGTGCCATTGGTGTTGCTACTACCTAGCCAGCTTAATTATGAGCGGCTTGCTATCTACTCATCCATCGGAAAAACCCACCCTAGTTGAGGATGGGACACAACATAGTACAATAAATCTGGACAGGTTTATTGTACTATGTTGTGTCCCATACCTAACTAGATTGGTTTTTTGGGGGACGGAGGGAGTATTGATGTTGAGTTGTTGATGCATGGTATTGCAACTACAATGATTGTAATAATTTCTAGATTGGTGTTTCAGTACTTGTCCTTCAATGTTGTTCATTTAATTTGTGTACTTGTGTACTGCATGCTGAGCACTGTTTGAGATTGGTAATGTCTGTGCATGTGTTTCCTTTTTTTGTCCTCTAATTCCCATCAACTTTTATGGTTTGATGTGTATTGTTGGAAAAGTAATAATCACAAAGGCTTTTGAAAGGAACAATACTACTCATGTATCAAATTTGAGTTCTATTCTACAAGCACCAGCTTTATATTTTCCTTTGTTTTGCCCACAAATTTGATATATCTTTAGCTATGAAGGTCATATTTCTCACCCCCCCCCCTTCCCCATGCAAATCTCCCAACAAGGCAAAAAATTGGTGACATTGATATGTTGCAATCATACAACATCTTTAAAAATTCGTAGTCTTCAGTTGAGATATGTAGAACCTCCTTCCAAGGCACTTCACCAACGGGTGCGTGTGATCCGGCTGGAAACTAACTACTTGCCAATTGTTTGAGGTTTAGGTATGACTTTACGGTTAAACTACTTAGAATTTTAAATCTACCGATTTATATATAAATCATATAAGTTAAAAAACTAGCACAAGCTAAATAAGTCTAAGCCTAAAGAAAGAGGAAAACCCAAAAATAACGAGCTTTCAGAAAATGACATAAATCTTTGAAGAATTTCTGATGAACAACTTGTGTACTATACTTCAAAATATATTTGTTACGAGTGGGGTACCAACGTTCAAATTTTAAATACCTCCTCCAAAAAAGATAATAATATTGGGTACTTTTACTTGATGGCAACTATGAATGAAACATTTGATACAAATGAGTTTTTTAGCCTGAGCAAGATGAATGGATTACATATTAATAGACTAATAGAGATGTTATTAATTGAAAAATATTCGTTGCCAGTTACTATAAAGGCTTGTTTGGTTCTTCGGAGTGTAGCAGTTTCCTGACGATGGTGGAATCACGCATGACAAAAATTACCAAGTTTCTCAAATAGAGAATGGATTTATTTTAAATTAAGCGTAAAGGGTAATATAAAACATTTTTTGCAATACATTTGTAAAAATCAGTAGACTTTATAATACTATGAAATTACTTTCGAAATAAATCTACGCATATGATACTCATGTATCCAATTCTCAGTACTCATTTGGAAGTTTGACCAAAAGAAAAGAAACATATTTGTTTGAAGCAAGTCAGAAGAGATGATCGAAAAAAAAAATCAACAGAGATGGACCAAAGTCTGTGAAATTTGATGGGCTTATGATCTCTGAACGGCCCACAAGAGAAAGTTACGGCCCATCAAGTCAGACTACTCCCCACATGGAAGACGACGCCGCGATTCTCGCCGTCGCCGGCCGCCACCAACCGGCGAATCCCCCCTCTCGCCGCCGCGGCGGAGGGGCTAGCGATGACCACCGCTCCTGACGAGCTCATCGGTAGCCGGCGGGCCGTGGGAGGGGAGGCTTCTAACGCCGTGGAAGAAACTCCGGCCGCCGCCTTCTGCCGCCGGTCACCTGCTGTAAGCTCCTCTCGCCTTGTGGGCTTGTTAGTTTGTGGAAGGTGATGCAATCAATCTCCTGGCAGATTCGGAATGCGTATGTGATTTGTGATTGCCTCCTCCGTATTATTCTGTCTAGGAGCATGGTAGTTGCTATCGCTTGGATCTGGGGGGGTTTCGTTTTCTTAATTCGTGAATTTTAGTTTGCGGTATTTCAATTATGGATCAGGAAGTTTGATGAAAGAGAAGATGTATTTGGAATTTTGGATGTCCCTTTTTCTCTACAGATCTGCAGAAACCTAGTTAGGGAATTCAGTACATGAACAGTCAAGAAATCAATCATTACTATACTTGTTGCTAGAAGGTAAGGTAGATAAAGAAGCTGAAATCAAAATAGTCAGTTTTGTGCTTTATACTACTTGGCTTCTGCATATATATAGCAAAGGCTCAGAACCTGCAGAAGTGTTAAATTCTATTTACATTCCTTGCGTGTCTGTTTCTGAACTTTGCAATGTTTGATAAACTAAAAACTCATGTTCTGCAATACTACTACAGGAATCTGAATGCTTGAGGTTGATGAACCAAATGGCATGTGCATTGCTTCGATGAAGGAGGCCACTGTTGTAATTGGACTAGAGTCACACGCCCACTGTAAGACCAGACCTTGTGTTTTTTTTTTTTAATTTTATGTTTCCTTCTCCTTGCCAAACATGAATCCCAACAGGACTAGACAGACTAACAGGATTTCAAACTAGGAAACACACAGAGGACCAAATCACTTCAATCGAAATATCAAATGCATATCCATATTTGTTGGGGAGATTGGTTCTATACCATCGAATAGCTTTCTGTGGTCGACAAATATATCTAAAAATGAGAAGAGCACAATGCAGTCACTCATAATATAATAGAATCAAAAGTATATACAAGCACTAGTAGTGTTCATGCTCACGCAGGCGATTACTGAAAACACACATAAGTCCAACACCACACCATGGCATGCATAACTGGAGCAGTACACACAACCAAACACACAAGTACATGGAAATCCAAGTCCAGACTGTGGACACCGTAGAGGATTAAACCAATCATTCACACAAAGCAGAAATACAATCTAGCAATCACACACACACAGAGGAAGAGATCAAGTGCAGCGATGCATGAGGCTGAAAGAAGCTAGATGACCATGGATTTTCCTTCAGCTGCATCTTTATTCTAGGATAAATGAATCCACACACATACCAAATCAAGCTTCAGGTTGATGGGAATTGGGGAGTAGTAATTGCATGATTACTAATGAAGCTGAAGCTGCAACCTCAGTCAGTTCCAGCTTCTTCGCGTTGATGGCTTGAATTGTGCTTGAAAACTGGACAGTTGGGATGTGCATCCCTGATTCGTCTCATCGCAGCCATGTCTCCGTCTCCATTGAGCTCTAGCTTCTTCAGCTTGGGGAGGTGTTCAATCCCTGAGAGTGGAAGGGCATCAATGGAGTCAAAAGACCAGATAATCATCTCGAGCTTAGGAGCCGCCCCGATGTTGACAAAGTCAATGTTGGTGATGTCGCAGCCATCAACAAGCAGAGACTTGAGATGGTGGAATTCTTCCGTGTTAAAGGTGAGCTTGGTTCCAGTGTAAGACTTGTGCCGAAGCCTCAGGCAGCGTAGAATTCTAAGTTTTCCGAATACTCGGATTGCATCTTCTCCCAAGTAAGTATTGCTCAGTGTGATCTTGGTGAGTTGGTCGAGCTCAGTGATCCAGTCTGGAAGCCCACTTGTGATGCCGCTGATGTTAAGGCTCTGAAGAAGTTTTGGAGGGGATACCAAGGTAGCCAGTTTATCTGTTTCAGGCACAGTGCCCTCACTTGTTGCCGGATGGTTGATCTGGATCGACAGGGTGAGGAGGCAGCCGTGCAGTTCCTCAATATGTTTGAACAGAAGTGCCAAATTACCGGCTTTCTTGCCATCGAGAATCACACCCAGTTTCCTCAGTTGCAGGAGCTGCCCAATGTCGATTAAGTCATTAACATTGTTGGAAGCATCAACATGGGACAATATCTCCAGCCTTTCCATTCTCCGGGTGCCACTGGGAAGCTCCACGGTCGCAGGGGACTCCTCAAACCCATGCGAGTTATTGTCGTTTCGGCTTGGAGAGCCCTTATTGCCGGCAAGCAAATGCTTTAGCATTGGAAGAAAAAATGATTTCTTGGCAAATGCCCTGATCTTGGTTTGCCTGATGTCCAATGTCTCCAGGTACTGCAGCTTCTCGATTTTCTTGGGAAGTTGAGTGACACCTTTGTTCCTGAGGCTCAGGTACTTGAGCAGCAGTATCTTGCAAATGTTCTTCAGATGCTTGTTCTTCAGGCCTGTGCAGCCTTCGAGATCGAGCACCTTGAGCAGCTGCCATTGATCAGATCCAGGCAGGGAATCAAGGAGAGACAGGATATCACTGGAACGAGATGGCCCTTCTAGTGTCACCCCACTGTTGATGGAAAACCGGTGAGCCAGATCAAGAGGCAGGCATGTGTCCATGAAGCTGCTTACATCTGTAGCAATGAAGTCGTGGATTTTTGGATGCATTGTGCAGGCCTTCATCTTGCCTGCAGCACTGGTTTCCCCTGGACAGAGGAACCCTCGATCGATCAGAGCGCCGAAGACGTGCTCAAATTAAAACATACCTTGTGGTCACTATTATCGTAGTGCTATGATCGGCAAGGCCAGGGTCACTCAAAATGTAAAACAGTCTTCGATAGAGTCGTTTCACAAAGTAATAATCATAATCACTTTGAGATGTGAAAAATTCGGTAGGAGCAGCATCAAAAGCCAACAGAAGGAACCGAATTCCGTAGCAGCAGTATCGCCATCAATAGATAGTGGTGTTCCCCTGCGCTGCCGTTCTATCAGCCTTCCATTTTGAGTGACCCTGGCCTTGCCGATGTTGGTGTATCTCTTGGACAAGAATGTTGGGTTCCTTGTGAGAACCTCCGAGGTTGATCCAGAGCCTGTGACGGAATGAAGTTAGCACGGAAGGATGAGACCTAGTCAAACAAGTCACGTAGGCGCCATGTCAGCTAAAACCGCCTTCAAAGCTGCGGAGGGACCTCGTTTGTCCGGTTTTCGTAAGTTGGGGGACGGGTCGTAGCTGGTTTTGTGGTCAAGGGATGAAAATCAGACTGGGCAACAAATAGAGGGACCCAAAGTGAACTTATTCCAAACTACATAGTGAGAAGCTCAGCAGAGTGGGCTTCAAGGCTTAGACCCAAAGACATGGGCCACGTGGCTTAGGGCCTGGTATGCTCCTATTTATGTGTTGGTTTTGTTAATATCCTACCAAATGTTGATAGTGTCTAATATTGAGAAAATGTTTGACTGTCAAATTTTGGTAGGGTATGTGTTTCTTGATCGTATCCTCAGGTTTGTGCAAATATAAGAGATGTATGTGTATTGCCTTCATTTGGTAATGCATAATTTTGGTAGGTCGGCAAGCCAAACTAACCAATACTATCGGAGTTAATTGAGCTTCCCATAAAAAAGAGAGTAAATCGCAAAAGGTTATACTCCCTCAGTTTCTTAATATTGGAAACTATTCAGCTTTGAGCTTTGATCATTCGTTTTCCAATATTTATAAACACTAAAAGTTGATGCCATGTTATTAGAAGGGGTGTATCAATTTCTTTCGCTTTGGTCTAACAATTTGAGGATAATGAAGTTTAAATAGATGGGTCAAAAATTACCGGTTATTAATAAAAATAGAGATGGTATTATAATCTTGTGAGAATCAAAATACATGAATAAAATGCACATAAGGTTATTAACAACTTGGACCGTTCAATTGATAACCTCCTATGGGCAGTCCCAACCCTCCACTTAGGATGGTGTCTATGGCATTAACTACATTGCCATGTAGGACTTTTAACTTATGTGACACTATATTAATTAAGAGAGAGTGAAGAGAGAAAGAAACTGGGTCTTATGCAAGACACAGCTTCAACACGTAACCTATGCACTACACACTATCAAGTTTTACATTGGGAGAGAATAGTGTCTTTATAATAGATGAAGAATAAATATGATTAGTAGAGAAGAGAGATGATGTATTTATTAATGGCCCACTTTAAAAAACCATAGGTTGTAGAGTGTAGTTTTTATTGTGATGTCTTATTGACATGGCACCATAGACACTGCTTATGGATACTATAGGTTGGGACTGCCCTTATACCTCTCACTCGTTCGACTTAAAGGACTGTTGTACCTGCTGTGGCTATAGCAACAATATCCATTAACTAAAAGACAGCATGATCGCTACAGAGGTTACGCTATACAACCGCAGTTAAGCTGTGCCAAAAAGACACACTATTTCAAACTTTCAATCTCAAATCACAACATCGTAATTCAATTAATTGGTGGTCGTATTATTTGCATTATTTTCTTACAAGAAAAGTTACACGTCTAATGTTGGATTCTTCCAGAGCACTGTGTTTGAAAACCCCAAGCCATCCACCATTGACCAATGCCACGTCCTGCCAAATCCTCCTCTCCATGACATGTGGGCCCAGCACGCTGCTGTTGACAATAACTATGGCTCGGTCGTTTTCTTTTCGCACCCTCCACCTCCCCTATTATAGCGTGTCGGACACTGACTCCTCCCATGTTCCTTCCCTGATATCGTCATAACTTAGGTACCAAATCGCAAAAACACCATCTCTATATGCAAGATTGGACGCGTGGCATCTCCTGAATGGACACGCACCGAGATTTCTCTATCTTGTGGATTAACTTACAATATCGTAATAAGCTGAGGTGTTAAGTGAAAAGTACCCGAGACCCAGTCAGTTACGCTACCAATTTACAAATCACCCCCTCATAAATATTTTTTTAATTCCCACTTAGTTCCCCGCTTCTGCGGCGAGTTCTTTCTACCCGTCTCCATTGGAGGTGGTGGGTGCGAGTTGGGAAAGGCGAGAGGGAGGGAGATGCTGCGAGAGAGGTCGTCGCGGAGGCGGATGGCGAGCTCGAGCACCGCCGCGGCGGCGCTGGTAGTGGCGGCGCTTCTGCTCTCGTCGTCTCCCTCACCGGCGGCGGCGGCCGCGGGACGAGGAGGAGGTGACGACTTCTTTCCCCGACCTGTTCTTGATTTTTCTTTTTTTGTTTATTTATTTCGTGGAGCAGTTGCTTGATACGAGTAGCTCGGGTTCGCGGCTTCTTGGGGGGGAATTGGTGCCGAGTTTTGTACGATTCGTGGTTGCTTTGTGAGTGGAGCGTGCGGCGGAATTTGTAGGAATGCGCGATTGAGAAAGTCAATGCGAAGGTGTGACAGGATGGGGGATTTCGTGAAATTCTGTGCGAATTAGAGGGTTTAATGATGGGGAGAGTATGAAATGTGTTAGAATTAGTATATTGACTGCTATGGCTGCAAGGTTATTGGTAATTTGACTGAATCTGTGCGATGTTTAACTGGGAATGGAGTTGAAAAATTCAGAGTAAATGCTCCATGAGTTTTCAAGGTCAGATGTTTCGTACGGCTGTACCGTTGCTTCTGTACTGTGAAGCATATTAAGCCGATGTATTGCAAGCAATCTCATAATGTAGATAGAGATGTACTGGCTATGATAGCGTGGGCAATGTGGCTGAAATCGTTTAGCTTTACTTATGTTCTTCCTGAGATCTGAAAATCCTGCTAGATTCTCAGCAATGAACTCTGCCAATCTAGCATATATGGGGTTTCCAGGGGCTATCTGAAATTCTGATTTATGCAATTGCTCTTATGGTAACATGATTTTTTTAGGTTATGGGAACAGGATTAGCAAACCTATATTTTTGTTAAATGCAACAGAGTTGTTTACATTTTGTTTCCTAATGCAGAACTCAGGATGAAGCATTCTGATGGTGGCTATTCTTATAACCGCACTCTCGCCCATATTTTTGTGCAATATGCATCTGCTGTAAGTTCCTTCTTGAACATGACAGTAATCACTTGTTTTTGTTGAGAACTGCTCAGATTAATTCCTGAAACCAATTTCCTATTGCCCTAGCAAGACAAGTTTTCTGATGAGAACTGCTTTTAGTGCTTGTTTGCAACTTGCACAAGTCCCTTCCTGTTCCATTCAATAAATCCAACGACTAGTATCCTGCCTTACTTTTGCTTATTGCAAGATTTCAACTCCAAATACTTCTTTTGACTGAAAAAGTTTTCTAGTATTCTTCATTCATCATCTTAGAGGATAGTACTTGTTTTGAACTCATGTTTGAGTTTTCTCATGAAATGTTTATGTACATGTCTTACGTAAATGCATTTCAGGTGTATACGTCTGACTTAACCTCACTTTTCGCGTGGACATGCCCAAGGTGTCAAAGTGACACAAAGGTGTGCACTTATGAGTCCCAAGATTGAACTTGTTTGCTGTGCTGCTTCTACAAGCCCTTCTGCTGTTCCTTGTTGTCTGATTATGTTATTGTTGGCATTATTAATGCAGGGTTTTGAGATGATAGAGATAATTGTAGATGTGGAGAACTGCTTACAGGTTCATTATCTTTTAGTGCTCTTGCAAAATCCTCTTCTGCTTCCATGCATTTCTGAGTGGGCATTTATGTTCCTATATTAAACGATATATAATTCTGACCAGGCTTTTGTTGGAGTCGCCCCTGATCCACAATCCATACTCATTGCTTTTAGAGGCACACAAGAACACAGGTATAAATGATGTTTTCGTTAGATGTACCTTACTAGTGGCTACCATGTGGAAGCAAGAGGAACTTGTTCACTCCCCCATCCTTTTAACTTGTTTCCTTGAACTTGTGAAGTGTCTCGAATTGGATTGAAGATCTCTTCTGGAAGCAGCTTGATGTAGGTTATCCAGGCATGCCAGATGCAATGGTAATTCCACTAGTCAAGTTTCTATTGTTTTTGGGGGAAATATCATTAAATTAGTGATATAACTCTATTTTGCTTGATGTTTTTCTATTTATGTAGGTTCATCATGGGTTTTATACTGCATATTATAATACAACAGTGCGGCATGAGATCTTGGAATCTGTTCGGTGGGCAAGGAAGACATATGGAAGGCTACCTATAAATGTTGTAGGTCACTCGATGGGAGGGGCTTTAGCATCGTTCTGTGCCCTTGACCTCTCTGTACGTGCCTTTGATCCATCTGGATGTTTTTTCTGTTACATGGCCATGATTTATCCTCAACTCTTGGGACTTTTGGTTCATACATGGGATATCATGAACCATATTTCCCTTGAACCACGCCATTAGGAACATATGAAAATCCAAGTTTTTCTTGTATGAAATATTTCGTTTTTCTAATTTATAGCCTCTGTTATTGCATCAAATTTATGAAGCAAGTGTAAATATGTGATCTTTCAATATAAGATTTATTTTAACTATTGTATGTAGGCATGTTGGAATCAAGGAACTGATTTCTGGCCTTTTCCAGGTTAAGTATGGATCGCAGGAAGTTCAACTCATGACTTTTGGACAGCCTCGGGTAGGCAATCCTTCTTTTGCTGCGTACTTCAGTGACCAAGTCCCGAGAACAATCCGTGTGACCCATCAGAATGACATTGTCCCACACTTGCCACCATATTTTTGCTACCTTGGCGAATGGACATATCACCACTTCTCGAGAGAGGTTAGTCTCTGATACTTACAAAAAAAGGACTGAAGTTCTTCTAGACCTTTTTAAATCAATTGTTTCTTCGTCATTTATCTGTCTTCAGGTTTGGCTTCATGAGACCATAGTAGGAAATGTAGTTACTAGGAATGAGACCATCTGTGATGGATCAGGCGAGGACCCAACATGCAGCAGGTATCTATCTGCTTTACACAGTTTTTGGCACGCATGATCTTCACATAACTTACCATTGGTCTTGCTTGAATAGATCGGTCTACGGCAGAAGTGTTGCAGATCATCTTGAATACTACGGTGTCTCACTACACGCTGATTCAAGGGGAACCTGTCAATTTGTGATTGGCTCAACCAACATGGCATATGGTACCATTCTTGAAGTTGATAGAACCATCATCATGACAAGATATCCGCAAGAGTGGCACGCCGTGGAATCTATTTAACCCTTTGCCCGAGGGTAAATTGTATATAATTATTTTCCTTTTGTGCATATAGCTCATGTAATGTAGGTGTACTGGGTTCTCCAGGAGCTCTCCTGAGGATAAGGAGAGGTTTCATTTTTAATATGTGCCCCCCTTTACTCAAGTGAGAATTGTACATGGAAGCTCCATATGAACATTGTAGACACGCCTTTATTGATGTACATAGCAATATCAATGGAATAAATAATAGAAGGATTTGATGGTATTATATGCTTTTTCACCCATTGTGATCCCCCCTTTAATTTATCGTGCAGAGAGATTGCCAGATTTTTCTCTCTGCATTTTCATCCCCACCATTCCAGTTACATTCATGTCAAATATGTATTTGCCGATAAAATAGTGTTGCTCCTTGCAGATTTGAGGAGCCAAGAACTGATGAGAATCAGAAGATGCAAAGCTCTATGGTTGGTGGGCACTGCTAGGTCAGATAAAGAAGGATAAGAATACATGTCTATCCACATATTCTCCATTTTTCATCTGCTTGTTCATAGGGTTTGCATTGCAGCACATCAACACTAACTGTTTCATAGCATCACTTTTTTGCATCATCTGCAGAGAAAATATGCAAAGCAAAGATTTGCCCGTTCGGGTTTCCGCGTGGCGAATGCCTGCATATCTGATAAGGTCACAAAACTGAGAATCTTCAAAAGTTAGAATGAACATTGTATGACAAATTGAACAGATGACACTTGACAAGATGAGCCTAATGGTGTGAGTCAGCAAGTACAGTGAAGATCTCCAGAGACAACAGGTATAAGTTGCAAATTGGACATATTCCGGACTGTGGCAGATAAGGTCAGAAGAGATATTTGTGTGACTGTACGATGGACTGGAAGCTCTTTGCCTGAAGATGCTACTCAGAACCAGCCTAATATCTGATATCTCCATCCAGACGGTGCTGTTCTGGTCAAGTCAATAATTTTTGATAAATTTCATTAAAAAAAACTAAAAGTTTTTAGGTGTCTGTGTAAGAAAAAACTCTGCTAGTTTGTTTCAGACACCCAATGTTTCGAGGTAAAACATTTTGCAGAGCTGGTGCTATACTGCCATGATGCATATGTGATGTGATAGGATGAAACTGATTACCAATAATGTGGTTAGCAAGATTGCTGAAAATCTCAAGGGAAAACAAGGGATGCATTGGCAGATTGGGCAGATTATTGATAGATGATGAGAAAATTCAGAGACATTGGTCATCAAGCTGGAGAGATTCTGCCATTGGGATAAGGTCAGAATAGGTAGAGCGCGTGTGCTGAATGAGACTACTGCAGGAAGCTGATCCCTCCTACATAGAAAGCGGCTGTTCTTAGCGTGTGGAATCAGATCCTGGCGTCAAAGTTATTACTGTCATGCGACGACGCGTGCGTGGCCGTGTTTGTGTTGGCATCATTATTTTGAATGTGTCTGTTATTCTCTTCTGAACTTTTGTGTTTACTGTCAAAACTCTGAAGTTGTCAAGAATGCTTCAGACTCAGTTTCAGAGAGAATTGGTTAGTTATGTTATCAACTTAAGCTTATTTTCCAGAAATTACAAGCTTCAGATTGTCAGTAAGTGCAGAACAAAATTGTGTAATCCCCACAACTTTTGAGATTACTTAGTCTGTTGCCACCATATAATTAACTAAAATCCATATATATTCCCTCCATTTTTTAATAGATGACACCGTTGACTTTTTCTCACATGTTTGACCATTCGTCTTATTTAAAAAAATTTACGTAATTATAATTTATTTTGTTATGAGTTGTTTTATCACTCATAGTACTTTAAGTGTGATTTATATCTTATACATTTGCATAAAATTTTTGAATAAGACGAATGGTCAAACATATGAGAAAAAGTCAACGGCGTCATCTATTAAAAAACGGAGGTAGTATATGCTTTGCTAGGTGAGGCATGCATGCATATATACTGTATACTACTCCGTATAAAAGATTTTCATACATGTATGTATATACACTCTGAAGATCCTGTTTAATTAGTTATGAACCTTAACTTAACTGAGGAATGCTACAGGTACAAAATACTCCCTCTGTTTTCTTAATATATGATATTATTGACTTTAGACATATGTTTCGACATTTTATTAAAAAAAAACTTAATTGTCACCTATGTTTTGTTTATTTTATTAATAAAGGTGCTTGAATCATGACTTATAGTATTCATTTGCACAAAAAATTTTGAATGAAACAAACAGTTAAATGTATATCTAAAAGTCATTAACGTTATATATTATAAAAAAAACAGAGGCAATACTAAGACGTTCACAAATATCCATACAAATAAAGTTGTACTACATGCATGCTAATTTCAAAAGCTTTATAAAATTGAGACTTTGAAAGATGGTCAACAAAAAAGGAAAGATCCCAAGGTCCACGGCCCTTGGTGAACACAAACATCGATTCTCTTATCCAAAAACCATCCAACCTTTAGCCTGTGCCTGTATAATATATTTATAATATATTTCAGTAGAAGATCAGAATAATGTACTCCCTCCATATTTTAATGTATGATGCCGTTGACTTTTTAACCAACGTTTGACTATTCGTCTTATTCAAAATTTTTATGCAAATATAATAATACTTATGTCATGCTTAAAGAACATTTGATGATAAATCAAGTCACAATAAAATAAATTATAATTACATAAATTTTTTGAATAAGACGAAAAGTCAAACGTTTGTCAAAAAGTCAACGGCGTCATATATTATACGGAGGGAGTAATTAACAAGTACTCCCTTCGTTTTTTAATAGATGACGCCGTTGACTTTTTCTCACATGTTTGACCATTCGTCTTATTCAAAAATTTTATGCAAATGTATAAGATATAAATCACACTTAAAGTACTATGAGTGATAAAACGACTCATAACAAAATAAATTATAATTACGTAATTTTTTTTAATAAGACGAATGGTCAAACATGCGAGAAAAAGTCAACGGCGTCATCTATTAAAAAACGGAGGTAGTAGTAGCAACAAATACCTTTCTCTAAGCCTATAAAAGGCTAGCCACCCAGCAACAACAAACCACACCTAAGCTAAGCTACACTTCCAAATCATCATCTCAACTTCTCAAGCACACAGTGATCGAGAAGCTACTGGAAGCATCTAGAAGGGGTTCCAGGTCTCGATCGATGGAGAGGGTGGCGAAGCTGGCGTCGGAGAGGGCGGTGGTGGTGTTCACGGCGAGCAACTGCGGCATGTGCCACGCCGTGACGAGCCTCCTCGTCGGCGAGCTGGGCGTCAACGCCGCCGTGCACGAGCTCGACAAGGACCCCCGCGGCAGGGACATGGAGAGGGAGCTCGCCAGGAGGCTCAACGGCGGCGGCGGCGGCGGCCGCGCCCTGCCGGCGGTGTTCGTCGGAGGCAACCTCGTCGGCGGCGCCAACCGGGTCATGTCGCTCCACCTCGCCGGCGAGCTCGTCCCCATGCTCAAGAACGCCGGCGCGCTCTGGCTCTAGTGTATATACGTGTGTGCATGCAGAATGCAGTTAATGCAGCGAATTAAGCCAGGTTTTTTATGTCCTCCTGTGCTGATGAGAATAAATCAAATCGATCGATCGAGTGGTGTAATGGTGAAGTTGTTGTAAATGTCGTCCATTTCGATAAATAAATTTAGTTCTGATGAAAATGTTCTAACTTTTTATTAATTTAATTTGGATGTGTATAATATGTTTGCTGAAAAAAATATATCGTCGATGTGTTCTTTTTTTTCTGACATAAGAAGGTAAATGAGCATTACAAAGTTACAGGAAGAAGGGAATGAAAAAGAGAATGAGAATGAGAGGGAGTAAGGAGGAGAATGTACAAAAGTTCAAAATATTCGTGGGATCAAGATGATCAACGAAGGGATGTGATGGTTCAATTTGTGAAATATTCGTGACATTTACCAGTTATATAGAAGATGCAATATAGTAGTTATAGTATGAGGAATTTTACAATCCTTGAGAAATTATTTTGAGGAACCTAAATTTCGCACTAAAATTTTTGGTACCTAGAGGTACTTAGTACCTTATAGTATAGTGTCGGAGTACGGAACTTCTCTAGCGGGGAAGCAAGGCACTCCTTCGTGAATTTGGCCGGTGGCCGGGGTGCAAGTTTTGAGCTTGGGTCCTGTTCGCAAGGATGCAGGGGAGGATTCATAATGGGGGGGGGGGTCTTGAGACCCCACTATCGCCCCCAAGACAGTGGAGACCCCCTAAGCCCCCACTAATTTTTTTTCCATAGATCCATAGGATGTGGGGACTAAAGGTTTGATTTATGCTGATGTAGTTTATTCAGCCCCCACTACTATTTTTTTCTAGATCCGCCCCTGCACGGATAGAATGAACACAGGCGAGTATACAGGTTCTGGCTGCACGGATCCGTAATACCCTACTCTTGTGTGGTAGACTGGATGATCGAGTGGGTTACAAAGGAGATGTGAAAAGTTTTAAGTGAGGAGGAGAAGGTCCTTGCATACTCGATGTTTGGCTAACCTAGCTTAGATGAGTGTGCTAAACCTTTTCTCGGTGGCATAGATCCTCCTTTTATACGTGAAGGGGAGTCCATAATGCTGTTGCATGCACGCAGGAGTGGGGCCCACTCCTCTAAACTTGGTATGCTTAGTCTTGTCGTTGTCCCTTCAAGTCAGCTGACCAGATGTGATAGCCACCTACTGACTGACAAGTGAAGAAGAGAGTCAAAAGTCTTCGTTCCAACCATCCCTGAGCCTATGTGTTAGCCACCCCCATAGCCAAGAAGGGTGGCTCGGGGGAAGGTTGTTGAGGCCGCACCATGTTGCACGTCTCGTTTTCTCCGGGGTGATGTGGGCATGTAAGGGGCTGCATGTGCCGCCACGTCTCTCATATTGTGGATTAGTTGTACACCAAGTTTATACTACTCTAATCAATGTAAGACGGTGGTCTAAATGTAATCATAGGACCTAGGCAGGTCTCCTTAATGAGGCGGACCCCTCCAAGGAGAGCCCGGGGTGCCCTCGGGGCTTCTAAGTAGAGTTTGGTTCCCCGAGTGGTCGAAAACATATCTCCAGATGGCCGTTGTGCTCGGGTTACCCTGTATCCTCGGGGTAGGCCAAGTCCTCAGGACACCCCCGCCCATTTGGGCGTGCTCTTATTGCCAAAAGTAGATTTCATTGTTATTTCGGATGAGCTTTTTGAAGATGCCGATGAAGAAGGAGTTCAAAATGGGTATGGCTTTACATTAGATGTCGGTATCCACCACCCGCTTTAGCACCTTGAAGATGTAGATCTTGCAGGTCTCAACACTCTTCTTGACAACTTCAAGATGTAGATCTTATAGGGTTTGGTAGTGCCCATAGCGTCCCAACTCCCAAGCATCCCAGGGAAGGGGAGTACCTATTCCCATTTCTCCAACATATAGTTACCATATAATTACACTATAATTATAATAGTTTCATTTGATAGGCCACTATTTTATTATTATCACTATAGTCCGCTATTTTATTATTATCGCTTATATTTTTAGTAAACGTATGACACCGGTCTAGATTAATTAGATATGATTGATTGGATTAGAAGAAGATGAACAGTGTAGATTAATTCTACTACCTCTAAAGAGTGCTCCCTCTATCTAAAAAAACTCAATTACTGAGTTTCCGTGTCTAACATTTGACCGTCCGTCTTATTTGAAAAAAATATGAAAAAATTTAAAAAGATAAGTCATGTATAAAGTATTATTCATGTTTTATCATCTATCAATAATGAAAATACTAATCATAAAAAAATTTCATATAAAACAGACGGTTAAACGTTGGACACGGAAAACCAAGAATTGAGTCTTTTTTGGACGGAGGGAGTAAAGACCAATGCAAAACACCTTGACATGAGACACTGGGCGCCCCATGGGAAGGCTGAGGGGCCAATGAAATGTCCAAAATTAATCCTCAAGGAATCATGCAGCACAGCACAAGATGCAAAGAGCTAGCAAGCTAGCTAGCTCTGACATTCATTGACCTTCAGAGTATGCGAGAGCTATATCTCTGAAGAGTCATTTCAAGTTTCAGAGATGATTGAGCTAAGCCAAGGTAGGTTCATCCCTGCAACATCTCTATCCAAATATCCAGTGGCCCATCGATCGATCCATCCTGCACGCATACGTTGTGCTGCTCGACGAATCATTCTCTGTTCAATTACATCAGGTGATGAGTGCAGAATCATTCTCCGTTCTAACCACGAGCAGAATCAAGGCATCTCTCTCTCTCTCTCTGATCGATGGACAGTGATGTCTCAGATATGCGATGCGATTGCTGCATGCAGCATCAAATCATCAGGGAAGCAACTAGATGAACAGATAAGCAGAACTGCAGAAGAAAGATATAAAGCATCGTTCGATCGAGATGTGATCTTTCTCTGGATCCCGATTGGCGCGCACATTCATTCATGAATGCATGCATGATTATTCATATGCAGGTTCATGTCACCGGCTAGCCGTCATCTGAAAACCAGGCGCCATCAGATCGCGGCGTCGCATGCAGTACGTGCACTGATCCACATCTGATTCGATCGATCGGCGCCACGATCGAGGAGCAGGAAGATCTTTGGGGACAAGTATGGATTGATTGATCATAAGATTCCGATAAGGAAAACGCGAGAGGAGAACAAAATAAAGGTTGCGAGTTGTTGCGAGAGAGTGGCAGAAAGAAGGAGAAGAAGGAGAAGATGCGATTCGATCTGAAGCTGCATTGCCGCGTTGGTTTCGCTAGTGGACACATTTGCTGCCGCCTTTCTGAAACCACCCGCGCGATCGATGCAGGCAGCAGGCACGCACGCCGCATGCGCGGCAGTGCAATTTGCAGCTCGATCAGGTGGCGCCGGAATCTGGCCGGCTTCCTGTCCACCGTGCGGCGGCGATGGCCGACGTTTCCGCCATTGTCGGCAGCATCGCATTTGTACTGTGTTGAAGGTACATGCAGCTGGCATTCCTGTCTGGAAGGATCGATGTTTCAGCCTGAAAGACGTCTGAACTCTGAATTTGAAGTGTTGAACAGTTTCAGAAACATGTTAACCTAGCTAGCAAGAGAGTGTGAAACAACTTCAGAATTGCAAAAACTGTAATGCATGATCGGATTTCAGAATCATCCAAGGATTTATAGCAGAATGTTTTCAGTCTGAATTCTGAATTCAGCAATATATCACGACTCACGACATAAAACGACACTGTAAACATGTTAGTGATCATCAAATGTTTAAACTTCACAGACATTGCAGGAAATTCAGTCAAAGACTGCCTGTTTCGTCGGAGGCGTTGCGATGATTGGTTACGGTTATCTTCAGTCTCCACGCAGCCATTGGTATGGGGGAGATTTGTTTCACAAGTCAAATCAGGATGAGGTGCACTTTATTCCGATTCGCTGATGCGATACATACATGGCGCCTGGAAACAATTATCCAGAATCCAATGCACACGCAATCTATCGCCCACACTTTCCATGACTTCAATTCAGTGTGCCTGCATGCATTTCATCTGCAGATTCTAGCAGCTATCATGCGACAACTAAACTGACAGTCTGACAGCCACTGCAATCTAAGCTCATTCCTGAATGAGCTAATCTATCTATTATATTATTAAAGGAATAGAAAAAGGAGCCTCCACGTTCGCTCTCATGGCCTAGAAATTCTCACGTTAATCGGAGAAAAAGAAAAAGCAGAGTCCATATAGAAATACATTTAGAAATAGCTGAAATTTGGAATTAAAAATTAAGGAACATTAGAAGAGGAGACTAGAGTCCATATAGAAATACAATTTAGAAATAGTTGAAATTCGGAATTAAAAAATAAGAAATATTAGAAGAGGAGACTAGAGTCCATATAGAAATACAATTAGGAAATAACTGAAAGTCGGAATTAAAAATAAGGAATATTAGAAGTAGAGTATAGAGTTCATATAGAAATACAATTAGGAAATAGCTGAAATTCGGAATTAAAAAATAAGGAATATTAAAAGAGGATACTAGAGTCCATATAGAAATACAATTAGGAAATAGCTGTAATTCGGAATTAAAAAATAAGGAATATTAAAAGAGAAGACTAGAGTCCATATAGAAATACAATTAGAAAATAACTGAAATTCGGAATTAAAAAATAAGGAATATTAGAAGTAAAGTATAGAGTCCATATAGAAATACAATGAAGAAAAAAAGGAAATTTGGAATTAAAAAATAAGGAATATTAGAAGTAGAGTATAGAGTCCATACATGAATTTGAAACTAACTAAAATTCGGAATAAATGTGATAAAATTAAAAGTAGAGTTTAGAGTCCGTATAAAAATACAATTTACAAATAATTAAAATTCGAAATTAAGAAAAACATGGGAAGAAGAGTTTAAAGTCAATATAGGAATACAATTTAGAAGTAACTGAAATTTGAAATTAAAAATTAAAGAATATTGAAAGATGAGTTTAGAGTCCACATAGAAATACAATTAGAAATAATAAAAATTTAGAATTAAAAAAAAATAAAAGACGAGTCTAGAGTCCATAAAGGAATATATATAATTTATAGATAACTAAAATTTGATAGTAAAAATAATTAATAACTAACACGTATATAAAATACAATATGAATATTACACATTAGTAGTTTCGTAAAGTTATTGCAAAATTTAAAATTATGTTGTCATTGTAATATATTTTAATAATATAATGAGAAAACATATATGCTATTATATGAGAGAAAATATAATGATGCTAGCCGCGCAATCTGCGCGGGCCTCCATGCTAGTTCCCTATAAAAAGGGAAGCAAACCATGCAAACTTCTTCACAACACAAATCAGCAACGAGCTCACAACCCAAGCCAGACAGGAGAAGCTTCTAGAACCTTCCAGAAGCAAGGTAGCTAATCGATCGATCGATCAATGGCGGAGATGGTGGCGAGGCTGGCGTCGGAGAGGGCGGTGGTGGTGTTCACCAAGAGCGGCTGCTGCATGTGCACCGCGGTGACGACGCTGCTCGGCGAGCTCGCCGTCAGCGCCGCCGTGCACGAGCTCGACAGGGACCCGCTCGGGAAGGAGATGGAGAAGGAGCTCGCCAGGAGGCTCTACGGCTCCAGCGGCCGCGGCGGGCCCGCCGTGCCGGCGGTGTTCATCGGCGGGAGCCTCGTCGGCGGCACCAGCAAGGTGATGGCCATGCACCTCAAGGGCGAGCTCGTGCCCTTGCTCAAGAGCGCCGGTGCACTGTGGCTTTGAGATTACTGTGATTAGTTACTAATATGAGTTAATTACTTGAAGAAAATTACCATGGAAAACTATAGCTTAACTTTGTACTTAAAAGAGAGGGAGAGAGAGAGAGAAAGTACCAAAAATATTGCATAGTGTTATATGCATGCAAGTTTTGCCTTTTTAGGAGAATACACACATGTATGTATATAGTTCCCTCTTTTTTAATAAAAAAAATGTATCAATAGTTATCACTTCTCACTGCGATTGTACACGATGTTATATATATATATATATATATATATATGTATATATATGTATATATACATACATATGTATGTATATGTATACATACATATGTATGTATATGTGTATGTATATGTATGTACATATATGTATATGTGTATATGTATATGTATATATGTATATGTATATGTATATATGTATATGTGTATGTGTATGTGTATGTGTATGTGTATGTGTATATGTATATACATATATACGTATATACATATACATCTACATATACATATAGATGTACATATAGATGTACATATACATGTATACATATATATACATGTACATGTACATGTATACATATACATATATATATATATACATATACATATATACAAATCTCTGCTACAATTTCACTTCTAATGAACCTGCTAATCTCTCTCCATGTCTCCAGCTCGTGCCATAAGCTCCCACTCCCACACTCATTTTCCTGGCAAGTGGCTAGTACACCAAGGCCACACGCTAGAGTGATCTAGAGCCTGCCCAAATGAAATGACATGAGAAGCCACATGAAGAACTTTGGAAGCACGATAGTTCTTCAGTAATATCTGCTTTACTGGTCAAGTTGACCAGTCAACACATCTATAAAGACATGAAATTCTAATACCTTCGATCTTTTGACATCAATTTACTGGTCATAACACAGCATATCTATAACACCAAGAGAACCAAAATTTGTCATCTTAAAGCAATTATTGGAACATTTAAAATAAAAGGAATGTATTGTGCAGGCCTATGTTTTGACAGACACATGAATTTGAAAATTTTCCAGTTTGATAGTTTGGAGCTAAAACTTGGGCTTGTGCAGGCCTGCGTTTTGAGATAAATTAAGCTAGTAATGTGTGATGTCATGCATAAATCATTCTGAACTTTAATAGTCTGAAACTTGCACGTGTATTGATTCTGAAATCTGAACATGGGCATGCATTTTTTTGTCAACCTATCTGCACAGATAGCTTCCATCCACTTTGAAGGAAGATCTGATAATGATATACTACAGTGCACAGATAAACACATCACTGCATATTTTGGTCCAAATATAAGAATGCTTATTACACAAACACTATAAGATGGCACAATCCAGTTCATGAAAGGAAAACACTGATTTTTTTTTCCTATGAAAAACAAAAGGTGCAATTACAGAATAAAAAGCAACAAATTTTACCTGGAAGCGCTAATGTGTTGAAGCGCTGCAGCACCCTTCCCCTGCCCTCGCCCTTGATCTGTTGGCAGGTTCTTCACTGCACTGAATTGAACTTTGCATTCACCTGTCAACTTAGCACTTATAGACAGAAATGTCCCGAATAGGATAATGTCATTTATGAATGGTGCCGCTATAATATTCCAGCTATTGAAAGGAGAAAGTGTAAAATATGGTTATCAAATCAAGAAGACTGTCTATTTAAATGAGAAGCGGAAAAAATTCATACTCATTAGTCAACTGAATAGCGATTTGAGTAGGAAGCATATCATCCTCCTAGGGAAAGAAACGTGCAAACATCAAAAAAACCGTTTCGCATCAAAGTGAAAAAATCACAGATACACAACCATGACAGGCTCAACAGCATATGAAGCTAACAATTAACAGCATGACGAATCGGGGAAATATCCAGGCACCCATCACAATGCAATGCAACAGATTCGTGTATGAATCAGGGATTAGTGGTGGCGGTGACCACCCAATTACCAGGACAGGCTCAACAGCATATGAATCAGGGATTAGTGTAATTTTTGCTCGCATATTGACTAAATTTCATTGAGTGGAGGTCTTCTCTCACATTTATAGAATTCAGGTGTGGTTTATCACCATGAATTCCCATCAGCAATTACGCTGATCATCAGAACTTAACATGAGACACTTACCATGAGGAAGTATATATATAATCACATCCAAAATTTTATGTCTAATGTGAGCACCTAGCCAGTAAAACAACTACCAGGATCATGACCAAACAGAGAAACAGTATGTTAATACCATAGGAGAAGTCGTTGTAGTGATGAGTGTGCACCACATGTAAATGCGGCATCACAGATCAATAAATTGACAGACACAACATAGATCAACAATATTTCCATTGCATGTTAAAAAATTGATATCGCAGAAATTAATCAAGTAAAAACAGGACAAACAGAAGAAACTGGTCTTACTTTCACAGTAGGGAAGAGTACCCGGGTGATGAAGGAACCTGACGTCCTGAAGAAGAGTGAGCTTGTGTCCAGTGGCAAGATTTCACTTCAGATCTATGCCGTTTGTGAGATAATAATTTAAATACCATGGGTAGGTACAGGATCGATACTCTCGCATCTTTTGAAGCCTAGCTTCCTTGTCGTCAGCACTAAGATTAATTTCTTGTCGTCAGCACTAAGAGCAGCATATCGCTCCCTAGCACGCTTCCGCGTAAGTTAAATCAGAGTTAAATTAGTGATGCCGCCAAGTGTACCTGCAGAAACTTCTACAGAAATCATTTCACAACATAGCAACAGTACGAAGCAGCGAGACGAAAAGGGAGAAAACAGATAATGTCCACAAATCAGATACACATTGTAGATATACCTTCAACAGGAAACTGTTTCTTTTACTTAAAACGAAACTGTCCAACTGATACTTTCACATACATTTTGATTACAGCTCGAACAAAGCAGTACAGTGCTAAAATCACTTTGAAAAGTGAATTGGTTTCTGGACATTTGCTCAACAAATTTATGAACTTTAGTTGATTTGTAACTTTTCTAGATGGGGGATGTCTAACAATCGAACGCCATATAAGAAATTTTGTTTACCTTTTGTAGATGGGAATGTCACTCGGTGATGGAGGGGAGACGGGCGACCAGAGTACTGCATCCACCTGCCGACAGCAACCAGCGACGACCGGAGGACTGGCGGGCAGCTTCCGGTGTGGCGCGAAAGGGACCGTGGTGGAGATCGACGGAGAGGAGCGCTGGGTCGGCGACGTGCTGGGGGAGGACGGCGATGGCGGTGGCGAGGACAGCAGTGGGGGAGGGAGCTGGTGTGGGAGGGATGAGGCGAGGAGCTAGGTCGGCGACGCTGTGGAGGAGGACGGCGATGGCGGCGCTGGGTCGGCGACGCGGTGGGGGAGGACGGCGATGATTGACGCGGTGGGGGAGGAAGGCGATGGCGGCGCTGGGTCGGCGACGAGGTGGGGAGGACGGCGATGGCGGGGAGGATCGAAGGCGACGGCGGCGGATGCGATGGATGCGGGCGCGATCCCCCGATGCGTGAGGGATGAGCCGGGGAGCTGGGTGGGGATCGCTGCGCCGTTGGATTTAGCGATCCGACGGCTCATACTCCGCGTGTCTGGCAGGGTCGGAGTCACCACCACCACTGCGGAATTTTAAAGTAGTAGATATATATATATATATATATTATATATATATATATACATATATACATATATATATAGGAAATACTCCCAGGAGTACGTACTCCTGCTCTCATCCACCGTCCATTAGTAACCAGCCGATCGAGCCCGCTAGCGGGTCCAAATTCCTAACCTGTTTTGATTTTTTCGAAAAATTGTTTTCTCGTAATACTTAATCAAGCCGCACTAATCGGATCCATCCCGAACTTCTCGCATTAATATCGCTTTCCCAGACCGTGGTGCTTATAAGCAAATCGGTGGATCGGGGAGGCGACGGCGCCGCGATCCATCAGCGACTCAGGAGGCTGCAGCGTTCACCAGTGGCGGCGATGGCATGCCTGTCAAGGCGATGGGCCGAGCGCGGCCGCGGCGTCTGCCGGAGGACGACAACAGCGATCCATCGGCAATCCTGTGCGCGCGGCCGTGCGTCAACGGTGTGGAGATGTCTGCCCGTGTCGCCGTTCGGCGATATTTTCCAAGGTGAGGTGCTGTTGATCCATTGATCGTATCTATTCCCAGGCAACTGTGAAATCCTTCCTATTTTTCTTTGATTTTTCTTCTCGTTGATCGAGCGTTTTCTTCCCTTTTTCGTATTTCCTGTTAACTTGTGAATTTATGTTTTAGGATGCGTAGATTTGGGGTTCAGAGATGAATTATTTCCAATGAATTAACTAGTTGAATGACTAAGCCCTAAATTTATTTGTTGCATGCAGGTGGTGGACGGCGGAGTAACATCACGGCGCAACGGGAAGATGGCTTTGTTCAGAAATTTTCGTTGCCTCGATGGATAGTTAATCTGTCTGTAGCAGTAGTTTGAGAATCCGGAATATTTCTCAGAGAAACAAATCTTTGTGATTCTCGTTGGTATTCAACTTTTTTATTTTTAAATTATGGGCGGGGTATGTGTATGAATTAAATAGCGTATATTTCTAGTATTCTGATTTTGATTGTACATTATTTTTAATCAGCATACGCTTCAATCCGAGTCTAAATTATAACAGCTCATTGATGCACTTCTTTTTCTTCATATTCTCATATCATTCATCCATTAGTCTGCAATTCTGCATCCTGCCTCTCTCCATCGCGGCTGTCGCTACTGGCATACTGCCATGCAAATTAAAACTGCATGCTACTGTGTAAGAGATACAGACCAGAAATCAGAGAATATACTTTGTTTAAGAAATATGTGCTCACTCCTAGAAGATATCAGTATATACCCACTCCAAAGAAGATATCAGTATATACTCAGTCCAAAAAGAGATCAGTAGATACTTCCTCCAAGAAAAGATAAGTATATATACTCACTCCTAGAAGTTACCAGTATATACTTACTCAAAAAAGATATCAGTATGTACTTCCTCCAAGGAAAGATCAGTACAAGTTATCAGTATATACTTACTCAAAAAAGATATCAGTATATACTTACCTCCAAAGAAAGATCAGTACATACTCATTCCAAGAGGAGATCAGTATATACTTTTACTTACTCAAAAAATACATCAGTATGTACTTCCTCCAAGGAAAGATCATTACATACTCATTCCAAGAGGAGATCGGTATATATACTTCATCCAAGAAAAGAGCAGTACATACTCATTCCAATAGATCGGTATACTGACATTAATAAAGAAGGTTATATACTGGTATTAAATGATAAAAAGTATGCACTCCTACTAAATAAAAAGTAGTATATATATACCGTACTACCTCCGAACAAAGTTGTTTATGTACTGTTACAACTATATAAAAGGTACTCCAGTATATATACGGCAGCTACTACTACGTAAACTAGTATATATATACAGCTAAGCATTGCTTTTTTTACGGGGAAAAAGTTGTAATACTGTTCATTCTGAATTCTCAGTATATACTGTTAATTTGTGAATCTAATCAGTGACATATACTACTTTTTAAACAGTACGTACACCGAGGAAAAAAAAGTATATACTCAACCATATTAAAATTTGAACCTGATGTATGTGGTTATGTACCGGGCTGACTGCATGCATGCAGAATTCAAAAAACAAAAACAGAAGCGAATGGTAATTTATTTTTCCCTTTTAATCTAATTATTTATTATCAACTAATGGATATCCACTAAGAAGAGGGAGTACATACACCTGGGAGTACAAAATGGTCATCCTATATATATATATACATATACATATATATATGTATGTATATATATATATATATGTATATATGTATGTATGTATATATATATATATGTATGTATGTATATATATATGTATGTATGTATATATATATATATATATATATATATATATATATATATATATATATATATATATATGTATGTATATATATATATATATATATATATATATATATATGTATGTATATATATATATATATATATATATATATATATATGTATATATATATATATAACATATTGCAGCATATAGGGTCATGTAACGCTCTGCTTTTCGCGAGACGTTAAAAACTAATTTAAATAAAATCCTAATTGCGAAAATTTCGTTTTTTTATGCGAGTCTAAGCTGAGCCTGCGTGACGCTGTCCCGTATTCGCATGTAAGGACCGATTATGTGGGAAATTCATCAAGCATAACAAAGTGCAACCACAAGGTGGAATGGGACACCCTGGCTAAGTAATTAGTCGGTTTAGGGAAACCTCGTATGCCAATAGTTGGGGAACGCCGGGGCGAGGTCGGTTGGTGCCAATCCAGGTTCCTGGTAAGGCAAAGACGAGAAGCTTGCTAAATTACCGATCGAGGTGGTTGGAGTTTGATTTGTGAAAACCAAAAATGCCTGTATTTATGTGAGGATTTGATCCTTCTATGTGATATGAGGTAACCCTGGGTCGGCTTGGGAAAGGCTTTGTTGCGAACCTCCGATACCGACGGGTGTTCGGAATAAGTTCGTATCTTGAGGGTAAAGTGTACCCCTCTACAGAGGTTAACTAACTGTTCGAACAGCCGTGCCCATAGTCATGGGCAGATGTGAGGTGTTTCCCGTTGCGTAGATTTGTTTACCTGTGCTTTGTAAAAAGTTGTTGCGGATTGAGAATCGTCACCAGAATCAGCATATGTAGCAGATATATGACCTGAGTGGTCAGAAACAAATCTGTGTGATTCGGGATGTCTGCGGCCATCATAGACTAGACTTTCCGAGTGGAAGCGGATTGCTTTGCTGCGCGGCAGCAGGACTCTGGGAGTCCAGGAAAATGAAAAAGACCCTAGGAGCCGATTAATCAAGTGAAATGGCTCTGGGAGCCGAGAAGTAATGATCTGACCTGGGAGGTCGGTACATTACCATTTGAGTTGTTGAAAAGCATCTCTCAAGTCGAATCGAGATGCAAGTCTCTTTTCGATCCAAACTTAAGAAGAAATAAATCACTTAGTAATTTCAAAATGGATTTCAAACAAAGAATTTGCAAAACAATCTTGCCTCTCTTCCAAGCTTGCATTAAACACCTAAGTTCCCCTGACTTGCTAAGTACGAAAGTACTCACCCTTGCTCTATATAAATATATATAGTTCCTCCGCCTTGAAGTGGAGATAAAGTGAAGTGAAGATTAGGGTTTCGTCATGGTTCCCAGCTGTCGCTTGTGGTGTTGGGTGTTAGCCCATTGGTCCCGCTGCTGCTGTTGTTGGTGTTTGCCTCGTCCGTGTCATTAGTTGTATTCTCAGGCTGTCCTGAGATGCAACCTAAGTCAAGGTAAATAAATCCTCTATTTATTTTAAAGATTACAATGATTCATATTCGTCACCGTGGGTACCAGCGCTATGTCAATTCGCCAAGGTCTACATCATCACCAGACTGCCCAAACATGCTAGCCAGCAGTGTCGTCGTGCACAGCAAGCAATGGCCACACCCCATAAGCCATCACCGTAGTGAGTGCTAGCACGAAAACAGGGTTTAATATGTATTGGTTATGTTATTTCTATCAGGGGTACCGATAGGACTGAAATTTCCAAAATTTCAATTCGAAGTAATTTGAAATTTGAACGAAAATTGGTCAAATCTGAATAAACTTTAGTAAATTCACGAAAATTTGAAAAATCCAAAGAAATCGGGCAAAATAATTTTCTATCGGGGTGGCGTCCAATTGACCATGAAATTTAATATTATTCCGGAATTTTGAAACCTGCACGACAATGCTACGGCCGCCGCACCTGTGAACGCCAACCGCAGCAACTCCGGACGAACAAAATAAAGGTCGCGACTTGTTGCCGGAGTAGTGGCAGTGTACAGTGACCTACTGTGTTCTAGCTAGTGTGCGTGTGCTGCAGGAAGAAGAAGATGCGATACTATTCTGAAGGAATCTGATATATATGGTGGTATTGGCCGCTTTGGTTTCTCTAGACTCTAGTGGACTACCTTTCTGAAAACCACCGCGCGATCGATGCAGATGCAGGAGTGTGTTTCTGTCTGAACTCTGAAGTTTGAACGGTTTTCAGAAATATGTAAACCAGCAGGAGAGTATGCGCCGACTTCAGAATTGCAAAGCAGAATATATGCATGCATGGATCGCATTTTCACAATGATTTCCATTGTAGAATTGCTGGCCGACGGATTCTTTGCTAGGTATATATATCTGCAAAATATATATCTGCAGTCTGCTAGCTTTTTTAGCTCCTGGAAGAAATGTTTCGGACCGAATTATATTCTGAATCAGAACAAACTTAGTCTTCAGCAATATGTGGCACTAAGTACATTTACAATTGTAAATGTTTGTAAATGTGGTCTCAATTTTCGAGATTTGGAGGGGGAAAGAAGTCCCTTCAAATATTTTTAAGAAGAAATTGTAAGCATGTTGTCGAAACTATACACCCCTTACCACTACACTATCGAGTGCATCTCTGAAATGTTTAACTTTCAAACAGCTTGACGAAATTCCGTCAAAAGATAGCCTGTTTCGTCGGCTGCGTTGCGATTGGTTATGATATGATTATCCTCAGAGCCGTTTGGATCGATGGGTAGATTTCTCACAAGTCAAATCACGATTAGGTGTTATTCCGATTCGCTGATGCGATACATAAAAACAAGCTAGCATGGCCTGGAACAATTATCTAGTAGAATCCAGTGCACACGCGCAATCTCAATCGCCACACTTTTTCACGATCGACTTCAATTCAGTGTGCGCGTCGATTAGCAAACATGCATTTCATCTGCAGATTCTGGCCAGCTATATTATGCGACAACTAAACTGATAATCTGACACAGCCATTGATCGATCAACTATAAATAGGGATGAAGAAACCATGCACACCACAACACACAAATCATCAACAAGCTCACAACCCAAGCTAGACAGGAGAAGCTTCTAGAACCTTCCAGAAGGTAGCTAGCTAATCGATCGATCGATCAATGGCGGAGATGGTGGCGAGGCTGGCGTCGGAGAGGGCGGTGGTGGTGTTCACCAAGAGCGGCTGCTGCATGTGCACCGCGGTGACGACGCTGCTCGGCGAGCTCGCCGTCAGCGCCGCCGTGCACGAGCTCGACAGGGAGCCGCTCGGGAAGGAGATGGAGAGGGAGCTCGCCAGGAGGCTCTACGGCTCCGGCGGCCGCGGCGGGCCCGCCGTGCCGGCGGTGTTCATCGGCGGGAGCCTCGTCGGCGGCACCAGCAAGGTGATGACCGTGCACCTCAAGGGGGAGCTCGTGCCAATGCTCAAGAGTGCCGGTGCACTGTGGCTTTGAGATTACTGTGATTAGTTACTGATATGAGTTAATTACTTCAAGAAAATCTATTATATTATATTATTAAAGGAATAGAAAAAGGAGCCTCCACGTTCGCTCTCATGGCCTAGAAATTCTCACGTTAATCGGAGAAAAAGAAAAAGCAGAGTCCATATAGAAATACATTTAGAAATAGCTGAAATTTGGAATTAAAAATTAAGGAACATTAGAAGAGGAGACTAGAGTCCATATAGAAATACAATTTAGAAATAGTTGAAATTCGGAATTAAAAAATAAGAAATATTAGAAGAGGAGACTAGAGTCCATATAGAAATACAATTAGGAAATAACTGAAAGTCGGAATTAAAAATAAGGAATATTAGAAGTAGAGTATAGAGTTCATATAGAAATACAATTAGGAAATAGCTGAAATTCGGAATTAAAAAATAAGGAATATTAAAAGAGGATACTAGAGTCCATATAGAAATACAATTAGGAAATAGCTGTAATTCGGAATTAAAAAATAAGGAATATTAAAAGAGAAGACTAGAGTCCATATAGAAATACAATTAGAAAATAACTGAAATTCGGAATTAAAAAATAAGGAATATTAGAAGTAAAGTATAGAGTCCATATAGAAATACAATGAAGAAAAAAAGGAAATTTGGAATTAAAAAATAAGGAATATTAGAAGTAGAGTATAGAGTCCATACATGAATTTGAAACTAACTAAAATTCGGAATAAATGTGATAAAATTAAAAGTAGAGTTTAGAGTCCGTATAAAAATACAATTTACAAATAACTAAAATTCGAAATTAAGAAAAACATGGGAAGAAGAGTTTAAAGTCAATATAGGAATACAATTTAGAAGTAACTGAAATTTGAAATTAAAAATTAAAGAATATTGAAAGATGAGTTTAGAGTCCACATAGAAATACAATTAGAAATAATAAAAATTTAGAATTAAAAAAAATAAAAGACGAGTCTAGAGTCCATAAAGGAATATATATAATTTATAGATAACTAAAATTTGATAGTAAAAATAATTAATAACTAACACGTATATAAAATACAATATGAATATTACACATTAGTAGTTTCGTAAAGTTATTGCAAAATTTAAAATTATGTTGTCATTGTAATATATTTTAATAATATAATGAGAAAACATATATGCTATTATATGAGAGAAAATATAATGATGCTAGCCGCGCAATCTGCGCGGGCCTCCATGCTAGTTACCATGGAAACCTATAGCTTAACTGAACTTTGTACTTAGAAGAGAGGAGAGAGAGAGAGAGAGTACCAAAATTATTGCATAGTTGCAAGTTTTGCCTTTTTAGGAGAATACACATGTATGTATATAGTTCCTTCTTTTTTCCCGCAGCTCCTGAAACTTGATTCGAGAAAGCGGCTTCGTCAGGATATCTGCAAGTTGCCCTTCTGTGCCGATGTAACTCGGTGTGATTTCCCCATTCTCCACGGCTTCACGAATGAAATGAAATTTTGTTTGAATGTGCTTACTTCGATCGTGAAAAACAGGGTTCTTCATCAGGGCCAGAGCGGATTGGTTGTCCACCCTGAGATCGACGACTTCAGTTGCTGCATTCCTGAGGTCACCGAGGAGCCGGGCAAGCCAAATGCCCTGGCATGCAGCTGTTGCAGCTGCAATATACTCAGATTCACAGGAGGAGAGTGCTACAACTCTCTGTTTTTGAGACTGCCAGCTAACAGGATTTTTGCCGAGAAAGAAAATTACTCCTGTGGTGCTCTTGCGAGTGTCAATGTCTCCAGCCATATCACTGTCACTGTAACCCTGCAGTCCTCCTTCAACTTCCTTCACATAGCGGCACCCAAGATGAATGGTACCAGCAACATACCTTATGATGCGCTTCACTGCCGCCAAGTGTTCGTCCGTGGGTTTCTCCATGAAACGACTGACATAACCAACCGAATATGCAAGGTCTGGTCGGGTGTTCACCAGATAGCGCAAGCTTCCCACTAGACTTCTGTATTCTGTCGCATCAACTAGCGATCCTGCACTTTCCTTGCTCAGCTTTAGACGTGGTTCCATCGGTGTTGCACAGGGGTTGCAGCCGGTGAGCCCAGCCTTCTCCACAATACGCGACGCATACGCTGCTTGCTTTAAAGTGATGATTCCAGCTTCTTGATGTACCTCGATCCCAAGATAAAAACTCAAAGGACCAAGATCACTCATCTTAAATTCAGCCTTCATCTGCTCTTTGAATCCCTTGATCATGCCACTGTCACCCCCGACAATTACCAGATCATCCACATACACACCGACGAGCAGTCGCCCACTGCCATCGCCGCGCGCGTACAGCCCATGCTCCAACGGGCTCTGCTTGAAGCCAAGTTTCTTCAGTGTGCAGTCTAGCTTGGTGTTCCAAGCTCTGGGTGCTTGGCGAAGACCATACAGCGCCTTATCAAGCCTGTAAACCTTGTTCTCCTGTCCATCGATCTCAAACCCCGGTGGCTGAACAACATACACCTCCTCAATCAGTTCCCCATTGAGGAACGCTGATTTAACGTCCATATGATGCACCATCCAACCTTCCTGCGCAGCGAGAGCGAGCAACAAACGAACAGAATCAAGACGAGCAACAGGAGCGAATACCTCATCAAAGTCAATTCCAGCCCTCTGCACGTAGCCCTTTGCCACCAATCTCGCCTTGTGTTTGACGACGACGCCCTGAGCATCTTTCTTCAGTTTATACACCCATTTCAGCCCAATTGGCCGATGTCCCGAAGGCAGATCGACGAGCCTCCAGGTCTTGTTCTCCTCTATCGAAGAGATTTCATCGAGCATTGCCCGACGCCAATCCTCGTCGCGTTCAGCTTGAGCGAACGTTGCCGGTTCTTCTCCGCTCACCATCATCAGCTCTTCCTGGACCTCACGATTAGCGAGACCTGGCAGCATGGCCGGCCCCAGCACATTGTCCATCGTGCGGAAACGGAGTGGTGCGTCGTCGTGGTCTGCATCAAGATTAGCAGCTGCTCCAGTTGGTGGCGACACAAATTCAACCGCCGGCGCATCGCCATGCACCGAAGGTGTTCGGCCGGCTGTCGGTGAGTCTGATGGCGTTTGCGGCGATGATGAAGATCGAGCAGGCGGCTCCCCAGCGTCTTGGCGTGTTCCTGACAGCGAGCCAGGATGGTACACCGTGGTGTACTCAACGACGAAGTCGGTGTCGAGATCAGCGGCCGCCTCAGCATCCCAGTCCCACTGGGCTGCTTCGTCGAAGACGATGTCACGGGAGATGTGAACACGCCGAGTAGCCGGATCATAGGCGCGATACGCCTTGGACCCCGGCTCGTAGCCGACAAAGATCATTGGACGACTCCTGTCATCCAGTTTCTTCAGGTTCGGGGTGGTCGTCTTCACGTGTGCCACACACCCAAACGTGCGCAGATGGTGCACGGCCGGCGGAACGCCGTTCCACAGCGCGTACGGGGTCTTGCCGCCGATACCCTTGGACGACGACCTGTTGAGCAGATACACGGCGGTATTTATCGCCTCTCCCCAAAACATACCTGGCAGCCCCTTCACCTTGAGCATACTCCGCGCCGTGCCCACCACGGATTGGTTTCGCCGCTCGACAACGCCGTTCTGTTGCGGAGAGTAGGGCGCCGTGAGCTCGCGCCGCATTCCCAGCTCGGCGCAGTACTCGGCGAACTGTGTAGACGTGAATTCTCCCCCGCGATCCGTCCGCAACGCGCGGAGCTTGCGTCCACTCTTCCTTTCTGCCACCGCCTGAATACGCTTGATGGCAGCCGGCGCCGCATCTTTGGTGGAGAGGAGGGCGACCCACATGTACCGGCTGTAGTCGTCGACGAGTAGAAGGAAATAGCGGTTGCCACTGGGTGTCGCCGGCGTGATCGGTCCACAGAGATCTCCATGTAGCAGCGCCAGCGGCTCGTCAGACCGGCAAAGTGCCTGCCGCGGGAACGGCGACCTCCGGTGTTTCCTGGCGAGACAGGCCTCACAGACCTGATCAACCTGTGACAAACATGGTAGACCACGTACCAGCTCCTCCTTTCCCATCTTGCAGAGCGCCCTGAAGTTTATGTGCCCGAGGCGAGCATGCCAGCGCCACGCGTCTTCGTCGGCGTGTGCCGCCAAACAGACCGGGCGCGCCAGGTTGATGTCAAGCATGTACAGTCGCCCTGGGGTGCGAGGGATCCGGGCAAGCAGACGCCGCTGCTCATCCCAGACCCGCATGATGCCATCCTCTGCCAGCACTTTGAAGCCGGTCTCATCCAATTGCCCAATGCTGATAATATTGGCAGCAAGACGGGGAAGATAATAGGTGTTCGACAGAGTGCGGTGCTCACCATTCTTGCAGGCAAAGAGAATTGTGCCCCGTCCTGCGATCCGGACCACGGATCCATCGCCGAGTCGCACGTTCCCGGTGATGTTCGTGTCGAGGTCGGCGAACGCCATCCTGCTGCCCGTCATATGGTTTGACGCGCCGGAATCCATAATCCAGCGCCCGGGATCATGGTCAGCCGCGTCGTCGAGCGCTGCAAATACTTTCATCTCCACGAGTTCCACCACGGCTTGGTGGGGCGGTGTGGGCGTGTCGCCCTCCGGTGCCGCCGCGTCGACCGTGTCAACGCAGCCGCCGGTGAGCAACATCAAGGTGTGCTCTTCTTCATCCTCCTGGGCGACGTGAGCCTGTTCTTCGCGCTTGGACTTGCTCCTGCAGTCCTTCGCCCAGTGCCCAAGTTTGCCGCAATTTCGGAATTTGTCTCCCTTGCGCGCCGAACCAGAGTTCGTGCTCTCGGGGCTCGCAGTCCCGCCGCCACCAGTGCGCCCTCTCCCGCCACGGCGCTTGCCGCGGCCGCCAGAGCCGCCCGAGTCACCCCGCTTTGCCTCTTGATCCTTCTTCTTCTGACGTTCAGCCCACTCCTCCTCAGTTAGGTACAGCTTCCCATCGGCGGTGTGCGACGAGGATTGCCCAGAATCCTCAGCGGCTTTTAGTCTGCCAGTAACTTCCTCCATGGACAGAGTAGAGATATCGAGAAGAGTTTCAATAGACAAGATGAGTTGATTGAACCTGGGACGAGCTACCCGAAGGTACTTTTCGACGACTTTATCAGCAGGTTCAGGATCACCGAGGGTTGCAAGTTGGTTGACGATGGTTGTGAGCCGTAGAGCGAAATCTTCCACGGTCTCGTCACCGCGGAACGCAAGCGATTCATACTCAGAGCGCACTTTCTGTGCACTCGCCTTGCGAATCCGGTCGTTGCCGACTCGCATTGTCTTGATGCATTCCCAGGCTTCCCGGGCCGACGCTTTGGTCGCCAGGGTGCCAATCATCTCCGGCGGCACGGCACTGCAGATAGCGTCAAGAGCCATCCGGTCCTCATGCAGAGGGACGTCCACGCCGTCGGGCTCGATCGCCGCCCACAGGCAGCGAGCCTGCAGCTTGATCTTCATCAGTAGCGCCCAGTCGTTGTAGTTGGTCTTGGTCAGCAGCGGGTAGTTCACCGAGCCGCCTCCTTCTTTCACCACGCGGTGGATCACCAGCCCGCGGTCACCCCCGCCGCTGCCCGTGGCGCGGCCGCCGGAGTCATGAGGAGTGCGCACGATCGGTGACGACGAGCGACGACGCGGCATGAAGACGCCTTCCAATGCGCGGTCACGAGTCCACTTCCTAAACCGTGCTCTGATACCAATTGTTAGGAATTTCCCCAGCGATCGCTAGCAGGAAACCAGACGAACACAATGCACGCGTACTGTGGCTAAACCTGCAAATTCGCAGAACAGAGGAAACAGAGCAAATTTTGTGCAGCGCTTAACTCAGCTGCTTTTCTGTTTACTTCCATATATAAAGGAACGAATACAACGGAAACAACTAACCACCAAGACCACTTCTCACGCCATGCTCTAGCTGCGTCCATCCCCACAACCACACGACGTGATCCGAGCTCCCAGCACAAGACGCGGGCAACGAGCTAAACTCGGATACCCTCATAACAGACTCCACACGATGGCTATCACACAACACGTGAGCTCATGCGTTTATTCGAAAAAAAAAAACGGAAACATGCAGATAACTAATCAACTAACTAACCGTGGCACACAAGATTACTGCTAACAATGAGGATATATCCAACAACCTGGGTAGGTACTGAATCTAGGCCGTCCAACATAATAGAATTGACGGCTGAGATCTTTGAGTACCTCTGGGTGCCATATGATTTCTGCAATGGTACCGGCCAAAAAAGGAGTGGAAGGGTAAAAATATATTTTCGCGTTTGAATGAGGGTGAGAAAATATATGTTCGGGTGTGGGAGGCAGCGGTGCGGGCAAAGCTCGCTAGCAAACCTCTGACTCCAACACCACCCTTCCTCCAAGCTAGTCGATCGGGTACAGTCTCACTGTTGATTTCTGCACCCCTCGCTGCCCTTCCCCAACCTCGCCGGCCAAATCCAAAGCCACCCTTCCTCCCAAGCTCTCAACATGAACCAGGAGCAGCCCTTCCCCCAAGCTCGTTGGATCCTGGTTCACCAAACAACCTTCGTCTCCTGTGCCACCCTCTCACTAGATAGACTCGGGCTCACTAAGGACCTTTGCCTCTCACGTTAGCCTCTCACCGGTCATATTTTGGCTTGCCGACGACCTCCTCCTACCTTGTTGCCCTTCTCCCCAACCTGTGGCATCAAGGAGGTAGGAGCACATGTGCAGTGGATGAGATGGGGTACCCTCAATGAGCTCGTGGCAGGGAAGTGACGTAGTATCCATCGTACCCCTATAGAATGAACAACTTGATTTTGTTTGGTACCTGATAGTACCAGTACCTGGAGGTACCGCTTGGTGAACCATAAAACTCTCTAAATATATATATTGAGTTTTGTTCCGGTCCAGCAGGTGGTACCCCGAGGTATTGGTACCACCAGGTACCAAACGAAATCCGTCCATTCAATCAACAGGGATACGATCGGGATCGGGTGCCCTCCTTCGTGCGCGGCTTGACTCCACTCAGCAAGGAGACGAATGTCGAATTAATAGACGCCACCATCGCATAGGCGGAGACTGAAACGGGGTTTTCACTCTAGTCCCAATGCGACATGGAGCAGGATAGTATGGCAACGCCTCCAGGGCAGAGGGAGATGATGCCCGAGGACATCACTGTCGTTGAGCCAAGCAAAGCTTTTGCCCAGCATTACACCATAGCCAATTCGCCAAGGTCTGCATCATCACCAGTCTGCCCAAACATGCTAGCCAGCAGTGTAGCCGTGAGTCGCTAGTGTCGTCGTGCACAGCGAGCAATGGCCACACCCCATAAGCCATCGCCGTAGTGAGTGCTAGCACGAAAACAGGGTTTAATATGATCGGTTAGGTTATTTCTATTAGGGGTACCGGTAGGACTGAAATTTCCAAAATTTCCAAAATTTGAACGAAAATGGTCAAATCTGAATAAACTTTAGTAAATTCACGAAATTTTGAAAAATCCAAAGAAATCGGGCTAGATAATTTTCTATCGGGGTGGCGTCCAATTGATCCTGAAATTTAATATTATTCCGGAATTTTGAAACCTCCACGACAATGCTACGGCCGCCGCACCTGTGAACGCCAACCGCAGCAACTCCGGACGAACAAAATAAAGGTCGCGACTTGTTGCCGGAGTAGTGGCAGTGTACAGTGACCTACTGTGTTCTAGCTAGTGTGCGTGTGCTGCAGGAAGAAGAAGATGCGATACTATTCTGAAGGAACCTGATATGATATATATGGTGGTATCGGCCGCTTTGGTTTCTCTAGTTCACTACCTTTCTGAAAACCACCGCTCGATCGATGCAGGATTGTGTTTCTGTCTGAACTCTGAAGTTTGAACGGTTTTCAGAAATATATGCATGCATGGATCGCATTTTCACAATGATATCCATTGTAGAATTGATGGCCGACGGATTCTTTGCTAGGTATATACATCTGCAGTGCGTTCGCAAAATATATATCTGCAGTCTGCTAGCTTGTTTAGCTCCTGGAAGAAATGTGTCCGAATTATATTCTGAATCAGAACAAACTTCAGTCTTCAGCAATATGTGGCACTAAGTACATTTACAATTGTAAATGTTTGTAAATGTGGTCTCAATTTTCGAGATTTGGAGGGGGAGAGAAGTCCCTTCAAATATTTTTAAGAATAAATTATAAGTATGTTGGGGATTAAACACGGGACCTTACCACTCTACTATCGAGTACATCTCTGAAATGTTTAACTTTCAAACAGCTTGACGAAATTCCGTCAAAAGATAGCCTGTTTCGTCGGCTGCGTTGCGATTGGTTATGATATGATTATCCTCAGAGCCGTTTGGATCGATGGGTAGATTTCTCACAAGTCAAATCACGATTAGGTGTTATTCCGATTCGCTGATGCGATACATAAAAACAAGCTAGCATGGCCTGGAACAATTATCTAGTAGAATCCAGTGCACACGCGCAATCTCTATCGCCACACTTTTTCACGATCGATTTCAATTCAGTGTGCGCGTCGATTAGCAAACATGCATTTCATCTGCAGATTCTGACAGCTATATTATGCGACAACTAAACTGATAATCTGACAGCCATTGATCGATCAACTATAAATAAGGAAGAAACCATGCACACCACAACACAAATCATCAACAAGCTCACAAAGCAAGCAAGCAAAGCTAGACAGAAGAAGCCTCTAGAACCTTCCAGAAGCAAGGTAGCTAATCGAACAATGGCGGAGATGGTGGCGAGGCTGGCGTCGGAGAGGGCGGTGGTGGTGTTCACCAAGAGCGGCTGCTGCATGTGCACCGCGGTGACGACGCTGCTCGGCGAGCTCGCCGTCAGCGCCGCCGTGCACGAGCTCGACAGGGAGCCGCTCGGGAAGGAGATGGAGAGGGAGCTCGCCAGGAGGCTCTACGGCTCCGGCGGCCGCGGCGGGCCCGCCGTGCCGGCGGTGTTCATCGGCGGGAGCCTCGTCGGCAGCACCAGCAAGGTGATGGCCATGCATCTCAAGGGGGAGCTCGTGCCAATGCTCAAGAACGCCGGTGCACTGTGGCTTTAATTTGAGATTAATTACTGTGGTTAATTAGTTACTGACCTGAGTTACCTGAAGAAAATTACCATGATGCCTATAGTTTAATTAACTAAACTTGTATTTAAAGAGAAAAGAAGAGAGAGAAAGAGAATGGTAAAAAAATATTGCAGAGTTTTATGTGCATGCAAGTTTTGCCCTTTTTAATTATGAGAATGTACAAAGTAATATATGTATGTGTATATATTTTTTTTAATAAAAGAACATGTATCAATATTCAATAGCAGAAAATCTATCATACGGTATTTCATGGAGACGGAATATTAGTACTGCCTTATCTCCTCTTCCCCTCTCTCTGTATCTCTTCCCCTCCACTCGCTCTCTCTCTCTCTGTCTCTTCCCCTCCACTCGATCTCTCTCTGTGACTACCACCCATGAGCACGGAGGCGGCGACGGTGACGACGGCGGCGGCAACGACGGCGACGACGACGACGACGACGGCGACGGCGACGACGACGACGACGCCCCCACGGACGACCTGGACGACAACCGGCGGGGCTCCCGACCACCACGGGCGACGGCCGCCGTCGAGAAGCCTCCCCATCAAGCTCCTCAAGCCGCTCCTCCTCTTCGTCGTCCTTGTCGCTGGCTTCCTCGTCGTTGCCGCCCTCCTCCTCCTCGGCGGCGCTGGCGCCTCCTGCAGTCGGGGAGCGGTGGACGCGGCCACCGGGGGCGAGCGCTTAGCATAACATGAGCAACGAGGAGCTGCTCTAGGCGGCGTGGATGGAGCCACGGGTTCGGTGGTTTGGAGCGAGGCACGACGACGAGCGACGAAATGGCACAAAGTAGGCACCAGATCTATCGCCTCCTCTTCCTCTTCCTCCGTCGCCGCCCCGCTGCTCGACCTCCCCGACCCGCGACTCCTCCTCCTCCTCCTCTCTCTTGGGATATCACGCTGATACCCAGGTACCACCAAGGTCTAATACCCATGTAGCAAGGCCTGATACCTAAGTATCAGCTCGATACCCAGGGTACCAGGTATCAGTCGATACCCAGGTACCAAGGCCTGATACCTACGTATCAGCTCGATACCTAGGGTACCAGGTATCAGTCGATACTAGGGTACTAGCCAATACCAGTGTACTAGGTACCACCTCAGTACCTTACCTAAGGTAGCTAGGAGGATTGGATAAGGTGGAATCGCAGGATAGCATGGACCTCCCCACGAAATTGACGATGCGTACTAAATCTCTCAAGATTTTAGTTATCACGTGACTGCTAGGAGCAACGGAAACTCATGGGGTAGTAGCCCTCATCAAAAGTTATAATTTCTCAATGTGATGTACTACACGTACTATATCAATGTGTGTGTATGTGTGTGCGTATACCGCATATTGCAGAATACAAATAATGGCTAATCTTCACTTCTTCTGTTATGATAAAATAATGAGAAAAGAAGCTAAACCATAAGTCTTTGACTTTTTTTTTCAAACTCCTTTAAGTTTAACAAAGTTTAATAACATCTACAATACTAAATTAATTTTATTAAATTTAACATTGAATATATTTTAACAATATGTTTGTTTTGTATTGAAAATATTTCTATTTTTCCTACAAAGTTGATCAAATCTAAATAATTTTGGCTAAGGAAAAAAATCAAACGACTTATAATGCGAAATGGAGGGAATACTTGTTAACATGTAAATCAATATTTTAAAAATGAACTTAATAAATATCCCGGAACAATAGGAAGCAATATATACGATAGAAAATAGTTTTTTTATTAAAAAAATATTTCGAAGCGTGAAGCAAATAATTCGGACACTTCGAACTACCTGTTCCTAACGAGGAGTCAATTCCGACAAATCAACTCCAGATTAAGAGTTGAAAGGGACAATCATCAATGCTCGACATGCCCTACAATTATTAGGTCCTAATTAAACATGAGATTATTCCAAATTGAACCTAATCATTGCCTCAGCCCGGCCTGGCCCATCAGCCATGTTCAGGTCCATATCAAAACATATTTGAAGAGCCCACAAACATGATGATACATATGCCCATGCATGTCTGCATTGCCCTAGCAGAAAATTCACCTAGATCACCTGGTTTCCCAAGGAGAAAACACAATGAGACAAAATGGGCCGTTTGATTTGGGATCAACGGTGAGATATGGTCCACCACATGTCTGACCAAGCAAGAGAGCATCTTTGTCACCAGTAGTAGTTCTGTTCCTTGCTGTACCTATCCCTGTTGGTCCTTGCATTGTGTCTCTCACAGCATCTTTTGTGGGCATCCATTTAATTTGTTGGGTGATGGATGTTGGATTCATTAAAACTATCAAGTTTGTGTGAAACTCTGAAACTTCTAGTTGCATGCAGAAGTATGCCAAAAAGTGCTTGGTTTCACAAAGTATAATTGGGTGTCATGTACTTGGGGATTCCTGTAGCATGCCTGTATAGGAATCATTCAAGAGATAGGTGCTTGCTGAATGTATAGAGATTTTGGAAGAACACATTTCTCCAATACAGTTAACACTGATAGTTTAAATTGCACAGAACATGGCATCGTGAACGACTCATCTGTAACGGAGGTTTGCGGCCCGTCACAAAGACACTCACCTGTGACGGGCCGAGAAACGATCCATTGAAGATTGGGCGTCACGATCGCTATAGCACTGTATTTCCTTAAAAAGAAAATATTATACAATATTTGGAGAACTAATTTTAGGGGGTGTTTGGTTGATTGCTTCACTTGCCACGCCACACTTCAGTCATGCCACAGTTTTTAGTCGTGTGTTTGTTTCAATGCCACAGTTGTGTCATGCCACACTTTTCTACCCTTAGGTCCCACATGTCATACTCAGATAACTAGAGCTAACATTGCCACACTTGTGGCTAACTATTTCTTGGCCATACTTTTGCCACATGCCACAACTTGCCTAAGCTTAGTTATGGCAAGCTTAGACATCAACCAAACAACCCCTTAGTACCCCAATAGCAAATAAATTTGACTAGAGAGTAGTATGTTTGATTGCTCAGAGTTTCTTACAATTATGATATTAATATAATATTGCATCCTTGGGGTGCAGTTACACTTTAGTCCTTTGGTTTGTGCCAAAAATATTTTAGTCCTTTGGTTTGTGCCAAAAATATATAAAAAAACTGTAGGGTTTGAATCCTATAGAAAAATGTCCTATGCAGTCATTTGGGGCACATGATTGATGCATCAAAGACCTTATGAAATTCGTATGTAATAGCACAAGACAAAGATACTATAGAGAGGAGAGTTAGCATAAAAACTTTCCTTCGGATAAACGGCTGTTCTTGCAACTTTTTTCCTTATAATTCTTTGTGTATCACTTATTTTATTTTTTTATGTTCCTAAGTTGTCTTAATCTTACATCGCAAAAGGGGGCATAAGAATGCTACCCGCTAGTAAACGGTGGACATGGGTACCAAAAACATTATCATCCAATTACAAGAGAAACTTTTAGCAATTTCTGTGTAAATAATCCGATAAAATTTCCTTGTAACCTCCACGAATTTGCTATTACTTTAAAGAGAAACTTTTAGCAATTTCTGTGTAAATAATCTGATAAAATTTCCTTGTAACCACTATAAATTTGCTACTTCCTCCGTTTCATAATGTAAGTCATTTTAGCATTTTCCACATTCATATTGATGTTAATGAATCTAGATAATATATATGTCTAGATGCATTAACATCATATAAATGTAAAAAATAATAGAATGACTTATACTGTGAACCGGAGGGAGTACTACTTTACAAACTGATATGTATGACATTTTTCTCAGAGAGATTTCATACCATGAAATTTTTAGCAAAGCATGAGAATTCACATGTGACTAGTGGCACAGAAGATCCTGCGCGTGCATATGATTATGGTACAGCTCCTGACTTAGTGCATGGTCAGATGGGATTTAATGCGGCTGTCGGAACCTGCTGCCATCGCCCATCGCTACGCTCCAAGATCTATGCTGTACATCAAACCAAGTGAAGTTGAGTAAAAAAAAAGAAATGAAAAATACTCCTAAAAAATGGTTTCTCAACAAAGGCAAATGAAAATGGGCCAAAAAAATTATACTAGCCTAATTTTACTAAGCAATGTCCTCCTATACCTGTCAAGATATCAGTACTCTATTCGTTTTACAATGTAAGTTATTCTATCATTTCTTACAATCACCTGTCAAGATATTAGAAGTTGAGTAATGAATCTAGACATTTTTAGTGTTATATTATAAAACGAAGGAAGCAGTATTTTTTAGATTATTTTTAGTGTTTATTATTGCTCCAATGTGAGGAGAGCATAGTAGAAAGAAAAAGATATAATTCAATGTGAGTAGTACTACTGTACTACTGTATGCGTCTTTCCAGTGTATTTTCCGTGCAAATTTGGTCCAAAATGTCAGAAGCAGTGATTGAGGCAGGCTTTCTCACAACGGGTTCTGTAACGACTGAAAGTAATCAGGCATGCACCACATGCCCATGTCTCAAGGAAAATCATAATACAGCCTAAAAATAACAGATGCCACTAGCCACTACTTAGATATATATATTACTTATTTTTTTATCTACCTCAAAAGGACAGCCAAAAAAATCATAAATTAAACAAACCATATTTACTGGGTCAATAGTTGCATAGATAGAAGTAGCAGATAGTACTACTAGTAGTAGCATCATTGGCTTCTCTATAATCATCAAGGATGACAAGGAGCATTTGCACCTTCAGATTTGCATTTTTTTTTACCTTTTTTTTGTTTCTGTTGGGCTTATTTTGTGAACATCTGACCCTAGCCCCTGGGGAAAAAAAACAATTGTTAGTTTCCTAGCTCCAACTATGACATGGCAAAAATGGTTCATTTGTGAGACTATTTTGTTATCTGCATTTTAGTATAAATGTTTTATCCTCAAATAAATAGAAAAAAATGCAACTCAACAGGCCCATGGTCTTGAGAAAATTCAGAGAAAGAATATACTAGAAATCCGAGAAAAAAAGAAAAATAATT